GAACGTGTCATGTTTGTTGGTTGTTTTGTTTGTTTGTTTGTTTGTTCCGTCATCACCTCATCTGTCTTATTACGCTCGCGAGGCAGGAATGGCACGGCATGAGTAGCGGCTTTACCGTAATATCATGCTTCAAAGTCGCGCGGACGACGCATGTATTTCGATCAAATGATGCAAAATGTGTGTTGCTCAGACGGTGCGCGCGAATAGTTTAAACAGCGCAGCGTTCGAGGAGTCTGTGCAGTCACGCGCATTTACTGCGAAGAAATCCAGGGATTTGTCCTCAAGTTTGTTTGTGGGTTTGTTCGGTACGTTGTCCAGGTTCGCTCGCGGTCGAAATCACTCCCACCCGCCCTCCAACCACATGGGTAGCTCCCGAGTCTCAGCATTGGCAAGGAGGCACCGTTGTATGGACAGCCAGTGGGAACCAAGACAGACCGTGACGAGACGCGCGTGCCAGGTGCGTGGCGCTCGCGAGGCGCGCTGCGCGCGCCAGGTGCGCCTCTCACACCAGGTGCACCAGGCGCCCAGGGGCCCAAGCGTGCCAGGCGCGCCTGGTGCGCCAGATGGGCCGCGGGCTCCTCACACGTCAAGGGTGCTGGGTGCTCCACCTGCGCGAGGTGCGGGACGTGCGCCAGGTGCGCCAGTACACGTGACACCTCGCACCGGGCAGTATGTCAACCCCCCACCGTCTAGTCAAAAGCCAGTGCGAAGTGGCGGCGAGGTTGTCAGCGTGATGTATGGCGCGCGCACCCGCAAACATGATGCATTTGTGTTTGACCGGGATGGTGTGGCTGCACACACCGCACAAGATGTGGGCACCCCACCATTTCTTCCAATTGTCAGTGTACAGTGATCGCGGGCCGCCCATGCATGGTCAAAGATTTTGTCGCAAGGTGCAGTGCGTTTTCTAGTCGTTGACAGGGGTGGTGGGCCTGCGCACGCGGGGCAATTTGAGTGCCCCCCCCTCCCCCGTCGTTCCTGTCAAAAAAGGGGGCGTTGCGTCAAAGTGCATGTTGCAATTGCTGAGCTGAAAACAGGGGGCCCGAACTAGCTGGTGAGGGTTTGCTCGTTAGCAGGGATCAATAATTAACCACGACCCGAATGGAAGGAAGCGGGCTGGAAGAGCGAACTCGCTGAGCCGTGTACGCCCAGAGGGCTGGTGGGATGGTGCAGGACAGTGGTCCTTGTAGGCCCGCGAACGCGTGGCGTGGAGAATTTTGCTGATTGTCACACAATGGGAAGTTGCTTCGCCTTCTTCTTATCATATGACCCCTCCTCCTCCTCGTCCTCCTCCTCCTGATCGGTATCTTCCCCCTTCTCTTTCTCCCGCCAGGGATGTCCCTTTCCACCCCGCATCGCTCCTTTTTCTCGTCGTCCACTTCGTTGTCTTCCTCTTCCTCCTCATCGTTAGGCCTCCTCCGTCCATCGCCTGTGTGGCCACAATGCCAACCGCAAATTCTACACGGCGGAAATTGGAGTGGCCAGAGTGCTTCCACACACCAGGTACCTGGGTCTGTTTTTTCTCCCCTCTGGCGCCTTCTCTCACCAGCTGCCGATCAGCAAGCAGGCAACAAAACCAAAAGGTGATGGATTGCGCTTCAAGAAGATGGCTTCCATTTTTGTTGTGCAAGATACGCCGCTATCTGGACTCACCCCTTATCTTCTGACGGAGGCCCAGTGAGCCCAGTTGGACAGCTCGCTGCTAGGTAAAATGCGCTGCGTTGCTGGTGGGGCCGCGTGTGGCTTGTTTTGGGCTCACCCTAAGGCGCGTAAGTCTCGCAGGGCATGGAAGTGGATTAACCTCGTTCCCTGGCGCGTCGGGCTCCAGATCCAAAGGCATCGTTGGTGCCAGTCGATCGTGCGCTGGCCCGAGCAGCACCACTAGGTCATCGCCCTTCTGTTCGGTCAGCTCTGTTTCGAGGCGCCCACTACCTTTGACGACGGTCGGGTGACCAAGTAGGCCAGCGTATTCGCTGTTCGGTTCGTCACAGGTATTTGTATACTTGAGTTGCTCCCCGATTATGGGGACTGGCCACAAATAGGGGGGGGGGAGGACGCACACGTTTTTTTCCACGACGAGCTCATCCAGCACGTATGTCTCATGCCTGATGTTTTCGCGCTTCGGAAGGTTTGACCTCTGGATGGGAGGAGTTGGGTATCATGGGCCTGGGGCCGTTTCTTAGATGGAAGCGTGAAGAGCATCTGTTGGGGTCGGTTTGCTCTCATGAGCGCACCTGTACCACGGAGGATGGGAATATTATAGTGGTCTCGCATCAACACGCATGCTGACCTCATCGCTCACAAGACGCACACCTGGGGAGGCGTGCACGGTGAGTTCTCGGTTTACGCCCTCTGCGTGGTCACCAACATCTGTTCTGCTTGCCGCTCGACTTTCGCGTTCCAGATAATCGCACAGGTTCACGTTTGTCAAGCCTTTCGAAGGAGATGTTGCGCCACCGTGTCTGCCCATGCTGTGTACCCCGTGTTCGTGCCCAAGCTTGTCTGCCCCGTGTGCTTGTGTGACGTTTTCGCCGATGTGGCTCGATTGCAAGATCTTTTATATATATGATGATGATGTGCGTCTTCTGGTTCTTCCTGCTCGGGGCGATAGCCGCCTCCTCGAAGTTGGCGGCGCCCCGCTTCCAGGCAAGGCCAAACTAGTGGGCGTGCCGCCCAAGGCAGGGGCCAACGGCAACGGAAGCGCCAGCAGTTCGCCAACGGCGCTTGGGCAAGAGGCGGCAAGCAGCAACGCAACCGGCACTAGGGCAAGGTGAAGTACAATCTCACCAATGCCCATGGCGGCGCACATGGTGCGTGACCTGACATGTGGGCAACGGGGGTGGACACTCACTTCATCGACGCCGACATCCCAGAGACAGAGTCCATGGGCTCCTAGGCAAGTTGCTCGAGCGTGGGCAAATTGTGGGTCAAAGGACACATGCGCTGCTCAACAAGTGGCGCGCCAAAGTTATGGCACAGATGCAGCAGGAGGAGATATACGACATTACCAGGCTGTTTGGGGTGATGAAACGGACCGATCAGAGCAAGCGCAAAGCTCACATCATGACCGGGGAGGACCCGATGCCGACCGAGCAGCCCGAGTCAGGAGAGCAGCCGCTGCCTTCGCCCACGCTCATCTGCAGTTGGCGCCCGTAGGTCGCTGGGCGCGGCACCGCCTGGAGCCAAGGATGGGGAGATTGCGCAACTCAGTGGACGGCAAGGACGCAGCAAGCAGTAGCCAACCGCATCAGACATAGACGGGACTGTTGACAGCAAATCAAAATCAAATTTATTGTGTTATTAAAATCGCGTTGCCGCTTCCATGTCAGCCCGCCAACGGCACTTGGGGTTGCAGCACGGCTTCCGTTTTGTTCGTTGGCTTGTGAGCGTGCGTATAGGGTTGGTTCGGTGGCTCTTTGTCGGATCGACATCTCTATTTGAAGTTACTTCCCAGCGTGGCGTCTTTGGGTGGGTCATATTTCCACGTTGCTTCCAAATGGGTGGGTGTGGTTGGGATCTTTTTTCGTGTTGCTTCCAGCTGGGTGGTTTCGGGTGGGATTCCGTGTGCGCTCCACAAACGCGTAGCACGACGCGTCTGCGCACCTTGTCTGCACGCCGCATGCCAGTTTTATCTGATTAAGTGGGTCCGTGTGGCTCCCGACCCGCGCCTGTTGGGCGCGAGCTTCTATATTAATATGTCTTATAGTATGTTCCGCGAACCTCTCCTTGTCTACTGCTCCTACGTGTAGACACCCGCCCGCCTTCGGTGACTCCATTGGTATCGAGTTTTATCATGAGAGTGCCCTGGGGCCCCTCGCTGCGTGCCGCTGTGCGTTCCTCCCCCCGCCTCCCACCCCCTTGTCCTCGCCTTTTGCCCTCCTGGCTTCCTGTTGTTGCTGCTGCGCCGGGGCCTAACTCAAGGCGGCCTCCAGAGGCCATGCTGTCATACCTGTTCGGGTCTCGCTCGCACACTATACGTCGGTGCTCGCGGCCCTGGGACCCAGTGTCCAGGTGCGTCAGGGCCCGGTTGGCCCGTCGAGATCCTCGTGGCCATTTGTGGGGCCCGACGGGCGCACCCTTTTCGAGTTTCATGCGTTCCCGAAATTTCGCTCGCAAGCCCTCGAGCTTCATGCTTTGTTCCAGATCCAGGTGCGTTCCACGGGGTGCGAGTTGCTGAATGGTCTGCTTGTCGCCGCCGCTGTCGCTGACTGGCGCCGCTGTGTAGGAAACGACAGAAGTTGCGGGTCCACAGTCGCGTCTTGCTTCTAACCCTCCTCCTTCTCATCTTCCCTCTTCCTCCTCCTTCTCGCTCCTGCTTGTCCTCCTCCTCCTCCTCCTCCTCCTCCTCCTCCGCTTTGTTTTCCTTCCTTGCCCCCCCCCCCCTCCCTTCTCCTGGTCCTCCTTCTGTTCTGCCGTTTGCTCCTTTCCAGCCCCCCGTGGAGCCAGGGACGAGGAGGATGCTTCAGACCTCCTCGCGTGCCGAACAAGCATACGTAAGCACGACGGAATGTCTTCGACAGTTTTCGGCTTCGGTGGGCCGTGACTGGCTTACGGGACAGTCAGCAACAACGGCTCGGGATGAGAAGCCGGTCCCCAGCGAAAGTGTCACGCCGTCGGAGCGAGCAGGAGGATGGAGCGAGACAGATGAGCGCGGAGCGAGTAGAGCGAAACGATGAGCGAGGAGGAGAAGGATGCCCGCCTTGAGGGCAGCCAGGACATCCACGGGCACACCAGAGATCCTCCTCCGCCTCGTCGTCCTTTCCTCCTCGTTGCCCTCTTCTTCCTCGTTTTCCTTGTCCTTTTTCGGCCTGCTTGTCCTCCTCCTCCTCCTTCTCCTCCTCCTCCTCCTCCTTGTTCTCCCCAGTCCTGCATCATCCCTCCTGTTTTTTCACCCTGTGCTCCTCCATAATTTTCCTTCCCTGCGTCACTCAACCCTCTCTCCTGCTTTTCCTCCCTCCCTTTCCGAGCGCTGCCGCTCGCGCGCGCGCCCACCCCGCCCCATGCCGCCTCAGCCCTCGGCCGTGGCCATTGGTGCCCGACCAGCCCCTACGCATCCCCTCACGACAACGACGATGACTGACCACGACGACGACGACGACGACGACGACGACGACGACGACGACGACGACGACGACGACGACGGCGGCGGCGGCGGCGACGACGACGACGACGACAACGACAACAACGACGACGACGACGACGAATCGACGACTCACCTCCAGGCATCGAAGTGCGCATCCCGGAAATCACGCCGAGAAGCCGCGCCGCTCGCGCGCAGACCCCCACCGCCCCCGTCGCCCCAGGCCGCCTTCGCAGTCCTTCTCGCCCCCAGGCCTCGAAGAGCACGTCGGAGCTTCGCGCCGAGATGCAGCCGCACCGCCTCGTGCGCGGTTCCTCCCCCGGCCGCCCAGGCCACCGTCGCAGGTGGGCGGTGTGGGGGGAGGGCTGCGTCTGTGAGCACCAGCCTCGTGTCGCCGCGGTCCATGGGCCCATCGGGGCCGAGAGGGGGCGCGTCCCTCCAAGCCCCGACTCCCAGGGGCGCTGCGGGGGCGCTTCGGCCCGCAGGCGGGTGAGCGCGCGTCTCGCAGCGTGTTTTTCGGCGCGGCGGCGCGGCGGCGCAGGAGAGGCCAGACGTGGCGCCAGCAGGTTTGCCTCCGCCCCTTGGCGGAGGTCGTCGGCGGCGGCTCGATGCAGCGGTGGCGGTTGCAGCGGCGGCGGAGGCGAGGGTATGGGGCAAGGGTGGCGGCAAGGGCAAGGGTGGCGGCGGCGGCGATAGCGACGGTGGCGGCGGCGACAGCGAGGGCGACAGCGGGGCGGGGCGGCGGCGAGTGACGGCGAAGAGACTCTCGGCCGCCGCCGTGGCCCCGAGGTGTGCGTGCCACCCGTGGGAAGCGCGCGGCTTCGGGCAGAGGCGCCGCCAGGGGGGTTGACGATGAGGAGGAAGAGGAAGGACGAGGAGAGGAAACGGAGGACCAGAAGGAGGAGGAGGAGGAGGGATGATGCGGTACCCCCTTGGTAAGTTTCGCGATTCCGCTCCAGATCCAGAGGCGCGCAGACAGTTCAAAAGGGCAAGACGCGCTCCAAGACAGCCCGAAACCGCCCCAAATACCTTCCTCCCTGGTGGGCCTCCGACAAGTCGACTTGATGTGTTCAAGTCTACGGCTCCAGTCCTTCTCGGCCCCGTCTCTGTGACGGGTCCCTCGTGAGCCGATGTGTTGACGGCCTGGGGGTGGAGCGTGCACATTGGGGGTGGCGCGGAAGGGTGGGGCTCCCGAGGTGTCGCGGGGAGCGTCCGAGAAGGGAGGGGCCCTTCCTCCGGGACCTGGATTCTGGGGCCCGCCCCACTTGACGAGCTTCCCCGAGATCCTGGCGTTCCAATTCTTCGAGCCAGGCGTTTTCGCCCAGGTGCGGGCCCCTGGGCCCTCACAGGTCGATCCAGCACGAACAATGGCGCAGAAAGATGAGGTCCAGGGCTCCAGTAGTGGTTTCTCACGGTGCTTCAATCAATTTTTCGAGAAGCCGAATCGCATGGCTTTCAGCTCGTCGTCCTGATCATACCGTATCCCGTATCTTGGCGGCACGCACAAGAGAATGGCACGGGGTGGTGGGCTTCTGAGACGGCGGAGTGTCTCCTAGACGGGGGGGGACTGTCTCGGAAGGTCAAGACGGTGTCAGAAGCCAGGGGGACATCGAAGACGGCCCCCTCGTCCTTACAGAGGGCACCCCACCTTCTGCGGGCCCCCTCGCGCCACCGACGCCAACACCCGCAGAGCCCGCAGATGCAAAGACAAACAGGAAAGCTCGGGCCCGATGTTGGGAAGACCTGTGCTGGCCATGCGGGCCCCTTCGCGACCGCTGGATGGGATCCAGGTCCCCAGGTGGCGTAGCACGGAACACCTTCCGCGTTTTCTCGCCGTGAAAGAATAGTTATCGTCGTCGTCGGACCTTGCAGGGCCCCGGCGGTTGGAAACACAAAACATGATTCATAATGAAAAACCGCCACATTGGGACAATGAAGACAACACGACGTGGGATTTCTGTGATAGTCGGGCAGGCATGCGACCCCTCCCCCCCTTTCCCCCGCTCTTCCCGTGTCGCCGCAGTCCTCTGCCCCCTTTCGCTGCCATCAGACGTCATGGAGCAGCCGGGTCCGGGGGGAAATCGTGCTCTCGGGATTTGTACATGTTTTCGAGCCCATCGGGGCCTTCCTCGGGCACAGGTATCTAGGGCCTTCTCTCCACGCGTCACGTATTTGCCGTGTTCCGAACGGCTCGGGTCGAGACGCTGCGTGTGGGTCCAGAACGCGGCCCGCTGTCTTGGGGTTCTGTTGATATCCGTGCAGAGCTCTGTGTTGGGGTCTGGCTACCAAGGGTCAAAGCCCCGCCAGAGCTGCGGGAGAGAGGGCTTCAGCAACAACACATGGGACATGGGAGCTTTGTATACGGCTGCCTGCGGCCAGCCCCGCCACCGTGCCTGTGCAACAACGCAGCACGAAGGAGGCCGAATGCATGAATAGCGAAATTCCGACGAGTGGTCTGATTAGGACGGGTCGTGAACTCGACATCCTTTTCGTCCACGCGGTTGGGAGGAGGAGGACAAGGACGAGGACGAGGAGGAGGAGGAGGAGGAGGAGGAGGAGGAGGCGGAGTAGGCGGAGGAAGAGGAGGAGGAGGAGGAAGAGGAGGAGGAGGAGGAGGCGGAGGAGGAGGAGGAGAAGGAGGAGGAGAAGGAGGAGGAGGAGGAGGGAGAACATGAGAAAGAGGAGAATCATGCTTCTTGGGGCCCTCGTGGGGCATCCTCGGGGTCTCTTGGGGACCCTCTGGGACCCCTTGGGAGCCTCTTGGGCTTCTTAGGGGATCCTTGGCCCGTCTGACGCCTTCGGATGCTGTCTTGGGGCCTCTCTGGGCCGCCTTGGTGCCTTCTTGGAGCGCTTTAGGGCCGTCTTGGGCCCTCTTTGAAGCCCCTCGGGCGATCTTTGCGTCCTCTTGGGCGACTTGGGGCCTTCTTGGGGGCTTCTTAGGCTGTCTTGGAGCTATCGGAGCTCTCCTGGAGGCCTCTTGGAGACCCCTTGGGCCGTCTTGGGCGGTCGGAAATCCAAACAGTCGAGAGCCTCAGCATCTTTCCAATTTCCAAGGAACATGAATGGTTTGGGTCTCCTCGGGCTCTTGAGGAGGGCCTCTCGGAGCCCTCTTAGCCCGTCTTGGGGGCTTCTTGCGCTGTCTAAAGACCGTATTTGGAGCCTCTTGAGCCGTCTTGAGCCGTCTTGGTCCATCTCGGGCCGTCTTGGAGTCATTTTGACTGCATTGGAAGCAAGCTTGGAGGCCAACTTGGCCGTCTGGGGGTCGGGGCCGAAAGGAGGGCCAGCCGGAGAGCAAATTCAGACGGGGCGATCTCAGAGGGACGCGTGCCGTGCAGGGGGGGAAGGGGGGCGGCCCTAGAAAGCACAAAACACCCTCCCAGACAGCACAGAGGCGTGATGGAAAGAGCGCTAGCGCGAGAAGTTCTGAGCAGGGCTTTAGCCCCAATGTGGGGGGTCGGTGGGGGGTGGGGGGCGTGGCGGGGTACAGTTTCTAACACGCCTTCTGGGGGTCATTTTGGCGTTACGGACCTGGAGGCCTCAGCATGGTCCAAATGGCTTCCAAGAAGGCCAAATCTGTCCCCAAGACGGCTTCAGAGAGGCCCAGGAAGACCCCAAGACGGTCCAAGAGCGCTTCCAGAGAGCTCCTGATTGCCGCGTCACGGCCCAAGAGGTTCCCAAGACGCCCTAAGAGTCCCCCAGAGTCGCCCAAGAGGACTCCCCGGAGGCATAGGGGAGGCAACAGATAAGTGTTGTTTCGGTGTTTGACGGGTTTTAGGGTTTTCGCCTTTTCGGGCTTCGGCTGGCCTAAGACGGCCAAAGAGGCCCCGAAGTTCGCCCCAAGCAGGCCCAAGATGCCCCAAGAGGGCCCCGAGACGCTCCGAGAGAGGCCCCAAACTGCCCAAGAGTGCGTCCAGAGGGGCCCCAGAGTAGAGAGACTCAAGAGGGCCTAAGGAGGCCGCCAAGAGGGCACCGAGAGGGCCCGAAGACGGCCCAACCTCCGAAAGACGGCCCAAGAGGCTCCTGGGACGGCCAAAGAGCCTCCTCAGAGGACCCCCCAAACGGCTCGAGCAGGCAACACCATTGGTTTTCCATTGTTTTTTCCGTGATCGCCTTTCCTGGCCCAGATCGGCCAGAGACGTCTCCGATGGCCTCTGAATTGCCCCAAGACTGCAACGCGGCCCCCCAACGGGCCCGAAGACGTCCCAAACGGCCCCTAGGATACCCATACTGTACAGAGCCACAAAAGGGGCCAAAGAGGGCCCCAAGAGGCCCCCAAGAGAGCTCAAGAAGGGCACATGAGGCCCCACAGAGGACCCAAGACGGCCCCAAGCCGACGCAAGCTGCCCTAGACGGCACGAGAGGATTCGAGGACGGCCCAAGAGCCTCTCAAGTCAAACCCCGAGACAGCCTGAGGGGGCAAACAAACAAGGAGTTTTCTATGCTGTGCTTCCGTTCGTTTTTGGGTTCTCGCCTCTTGGGGCCCAGATCGGCTGAAGACGGCTCTGAGGGCCTCCGAGGTTGCCTCAAGATGGTCCAGGAGACTCCCAAGAGAGCCCCCAGACGGCACAAGAGGGCTCTAGGACGGCCACAGAGAGCCGCAAGACTGTTCAAGAGTGGCCCAAGGACCCCAAGTGACTCCCAAGAGAGCCCCCAAACGGCACAAGAGGGCTCCAGGACGGCCACAGAGAGATGCAAGACGGTTCAAGAGTGGCCAAAAGACCCCAAGAGACTCCCGAGAGAGCCCCAAGAGTGCCGCAGCAGGCCCCCAATAAGTGGGCCGAAGAGAACCCCAAGAATCCCCCAAGACGGGCCAAGCCCCTCGAGACGACCCAAGAGGTCCCCGGAAGGGCCCAAGAAGGCCCCAAGACACCCAAATGAACCCCTAGAGGACCCCCCCCCCGGACAGCCCAATGATGGACGCAGTGTTGACGCCGAGACTCCAAAGAGCACCAGGTGACCAGGACGCCATTTTCAGAAGAGTCGGTGACGTAACCACGTTTGCAGGCCAAGGGTCCCAAGAGCGAGCAGTGGGCAGAAAGTTCTGAACGCCAAGGCTCCCAAGAGCGAACGGTGACGTAAATAGCTCTAGACGCCAAGGCTCCCAAGAGCGGACGGTGACTGAAACCGTCCTTGATTCCAAGGCTCCCAAGAGTGAACGTGGACGTGAACAACTCATCACACCAAGGCTCCCACGAGCGAGCGGTGACGTCAAACGTCCTCGAGGCCAAGGCTCCCAAGAGAGAACGATGCCGTGAAAAAGCTCTTCACACCGAGGCTCCCCCCACGAGCGAACGGTGGCGTGAAACAAACTCTTCACGCTAAGGCTCCAAGGAGGAAAGATGTCATGACCCCCCTCGGGCAAGTTTCTGAATCGCTCTTTCCATTCTTATGCCGGCCCAGGTTCTGACACATCCCGACGGGCACAAGGCCGCCGACTTAGCATCGTTTAGCGTCGAGTTAACGTCGATTAGCGTCGACTCGCGTCGATTCGTCAGAGCCAACGAGATTGTATGGGAGGCCCCCATGAGTTGCCGCAGGAGAGGGGGCAGTTTCCCCCTCCCTCTCAAGCAGCTCCAGCGAGGCTGGGCGCAGTGAACCTCATTCGCGCCGTTGCCGCGGCGCAGCCCTGTACACAGGGCGAGCGTATCTGCTGCAACAGAGATGCTGCAGTGACCGCTTTGACTTTCAACAACTGCAAGGTAGTTCCACCCCCCTTCAAGGCACCTGCAAGTTGGTTGCGATGCCGCCTGGCTGCTCCAAGTAGGGTCCGCGACGTATTCAGACTCAGAGCAGTTAGGTGGATTTGCAACCCACATGCAACCTGCAAGCGCCTTGCAAGTGGGTTGCAACCACCTTGCAACTGTGAACCGGAAACCAATGTCAGCGAAACCTGCGGACGGATCGGTCGACTTCCCTCGCTGGATGGGGCACCAGAGCCCCTCCCTGACCTCCGACGTCGTTTTTGTTTTGATCGCACCTTTGGGAGGGACTCTTCCCCCCGAGGTCCCCAGTGGACCCTTGGAGATCTGAATCTTTTCCCCGGGACCAGACCCTCATCCCGAGCTGCCTCCTAGCAGTCCCGGGGCGGAGCTAGCGGTCCCGGAGGCCGAACGTAGGCAGAAACGTCCCGCCGTGATCCTTGACATCCACCGATCTGTTTTTTGTCATTCCGCGGCTTCAAAGCTCCACACCCCTCCCCAGAGCCAGTTTTTTGTCGCGGAGCCGTGGGCCCAAGAGAACCAATTCAGGAGCAATGTCTGGGGGAATAAGCTCCTGGGGGGACACATCGCCGATAGGAGCTCGATGAACCATCCCGCCAAGGAACATGCGGATTCGCTTTCGGGGGCCTATCGGCGATGTATTGCCGATTCAAGCTCCATGTTTTTGTTCCCCCTCTGCTGGCCCCCCCTAGCGTTGCCCCTCTCCGCCGTCGGTTGATCTGAGTCTGGGCTCGCGCGGCGGCGCAGGTGCTCCCCCTCGCGTACACGAAGTCCCTGGCCACCATCACGCTGGCCACTCTCGCGGCCCTAGGCTTACGCCTCGGCCGCTCTGGTTCCCGCGCGCCCTCGATCGAGGAGTCGAGGGAAGGAGGCTTGGATCGAGGATCGAGGATCGAGGAGTGACTCCCCTGACCATCCAGGATGGCTAGAAGCTGGCACCAGGACTTGTACTCAAAGATCCAGTCGGAGCTTTAGTTCGCAATGCAGGTCGGATCTGGAGGGTTCTTGTACCGCGGGTCGAGAATCGCGGAAGGATCAGGAGGGGGAGGAGATCTGCAATACGAGGGGGAGGACCGCGGGTCGAGAATCGAGGAAGGATCAGGAGGGGGAGGAGGCCATGATCGAGGATCGAGGGAAGGATCGAGGAGTGATCAGGAGGGGGAGGAGGCCATGATCGAGGATCGAGGCTTCTGGCTGCGTTTCTGGGGGGGGGGCCGTCGGGGCGGCCGCCACTTGGCCCCCAGAGCGGGGGGGGGCCTTCGAGAACTCCTGAGACCCTGAGGTAGTCTTGAGGGTCCAGTTTTTTGTGAGATGCTCGGGGGCGTCCAATGGGGAGTATACTGTCTAGGGCGGGAACAAGGAGCGGGGGCAGGAGCGAGGACGAGGACGACGACGACGACGGCGATGGCGATGGCGATGGCGACGGCTGCGACGTTGCAAGCGGCGACGGCGGCGACGATTCCAGCAGTTCCGTGGAGGTTATGCGTGTCCCTGCAGGTCCCAAGAGGCCTCCTGTAGATCCCCGCGACGAGGCCCCCGGAGGTTACCCGGAGGCCACAAGAGGCCTTCAGAGGCCCATAGATTGCAAAGACCCTGTTCTTCCAGAAGGGCAACAACGATGGCACCACCACTCTTGAGCTGAAATTCAGCCGATGTTCACGCAGCCCAGATAGGTCTCTAGGTCGGGAGGGTCACAGAGGCCACCAGCGAAGGCCCGATCCACTCCACGATCGACGATGACGGCCGGCCGCTCCACGAGGCACGCCGGTGCTGCCCTCGGACAAGCGGGCGCCCCACGAGAAGCTGCGGGTCCTGTGCATAGGCGGGCCGACACCGCCGCAGTCCACCGCAGAGCGCCGCGGTGCGGCGTCGCCTGGCGTCATGCCGCCGCTGCTGCATACCGCCGCTGCGGCGGCGGCGCTGGTGCTGGCGGCAATGGCGGCGACGGTGCCTGCGGCGGCGCCGCCGCTGCTGTATGCCGCTGCTGCGGCGGCGCCGCTGGCGCTTGCGGCGCCGGCGGCGGCGGGCGGCGGCGGAACAGGGGGACGGCGGCGGGGGGGCAGAAGGGGGACGGCGGCGACGACGGCGACGACGACGGCGACGACGACGACGATGGCGGCGGCGACGACGGCGGCGGGCGGCCTTATCGGCGCTTGCGGCGGCACCGTTACCATCACACTCCTGGCCCAAGAAAGTACCCCTTCAGCCTTCTCTCTTCGCCTCCTCCAGCCTTCTCTCTTCGCCTCGCAGCTAAGTCCTGTTGTGGCATCCGGGATGTGCTAGGACGGGCGAGGCCCCAGCGGTGGTGAGCGAGAGCTCTCGCGCTGTCCATCCCCACCCGCGGCACTGGTGACCAGCCGGCACGGGAGGCCACTGGGGCCTCCCCGGAAGGATCCCCTTGTCTCCCTCGCCCTGGGTCGGGGCCCCAGAGATAGCGCCCCCAGTTCTGGGGATTCCCGCTCCCCAGGTACTTGGGGTCTGGTACCGCTGGGCTTCCTGTGGACGAGGTGGGGCGAAGAGGGTACTACATGGAGGGCATCCCCTGGGAGTCTCTCGGACCGAGTGGCGCCGTGGGGCTGCGGTATGAGACCCCCGCGACGAGTGGTAAGCTGTCCCCCAGCCATCCCCGAGTGGGAGGTGCCGCTAAAGAGGCTGTGCCCGCGGTCTCAACAGATGCCTTCCCAGGCTACCACCGCCTTCCTCCTCATGTCAGATTGCACGGGGAGGTTCGCCCCACAGTCTTGCCCATGCTCCGCGATGCCTCGCACGCCTGGTAGCAGGATCGGCAGGGGCCGGACCTGGCGACGCCCTGGATGTTGCTCATCAGCAGGCCGAATCGCTCATGGTGTTGTATTCGCTGTGATGTCCCGTCCGGTCGCGGCTTCGTCAGCCCGTCACTCGTGTGTTTGGGAGACGTTGCTGGGCAAGCCAGCCTTCGGGGGGACTCAGGCCACATACGCGACCGAATATCAGCAAAATCGGTTTGCGTCGTCGCCGTCGCCGCCTTGGGCATCGTCACCGTCTTTGCTCGGCTTAGTTTTTCCATGCATTTTGCTTCAGGCTTGGGCTCCCGCAACCTCCAGGTCGTCCTCGGCGCCCTCCGCGACCTCGCCGTCGTCGTCAGCGTCCTCGGTGCCGTCGTCCTCCTCGGCGTCGTCGTCCTCGTCTGCCTCCTGGTCAGCGTCGGCGTGTCGGCGTCCTCGTCGGCGTCGGCGCTATCCGCTGCGCTGTCGTCGTTGTCGTCGCCGCGGCGGCGGGGACGACGCGAGGCCTGGGCGCCGGCTCGGTGCCGTCCTTCTTCGCGCACCACATTCCGCACTGCGAGGTGGCGCTTGCGGCTGCCCGCCCGTCTCGTCATTACAGTCGCCGCCGTCGTCGTGGTCACTGTTGTCGCTGCCGAAATCCCCGTGTTTGCCGTCGTAGATGTCGTCGTCGTCGTCGTCGTCGTCGTCGTCGTCGTCGAGGTCGTTGTCGTCGTCGTCGAAGTTGTTGTCGTCGTCGTCGTCGTCGACGACGACGTTGTCGTCGTCGTCGTCGTCGCCACCGCCGCCGCCGCCGCGACCGCCGCCGCCGCCGCCGCCGTCGTCGTCGTCGTCGTCGTCGTCGTCGTCGTCGTCGTAGTCGGTCGTGGCCCTGCGTGCCAGGAAGCTGCTCAATCCTCGAGGGCCGAGGGCAGAACTGCTCTGCTCAAGGTCTCGAGTGGAGTTCGTCCGTGGCGACGAGAACCTTCCAGGATGCCCCAGAAAGGGAGCGAAGCGTTGGGGCCAGCAAGGTGTCTGGATATCCAGCAGAAAAGGGGGGGCATTTCGGGGTTAGGCTGTGGAAGGCTTTTCCCCCTTTCGACCTCTGGGGGCCGTTTTCGGGTTTTGGGACCGTCAAAAAAGGATCCGAGGTGAAATGCACCAGGTGGACCCCGTGAGCGGATTTGGCGTCATCCCCCCGGCTGACCGTTTTTCTGGGGTCCCCCCTTCCAATCGAAGCGCACCACAACGTTCCGAGATACTCTAGCCTGCTCCTCGATCTTCGATCTCCTCAGCCAGGCGAGTGTGGGGTGGGGGCGCGCGCAACGGGGTGGTGAGAGGGGAGCGGCCTTTGAAGCTCCCAGAATGCCTCCAAGAAGCCGCACGACTTCTCAGAATCCCCCCCCCGCCTTCTGACTACGAACAAGTCTTCAGTGCGGTCAGCGAACGTGGCAGGTCGCGGCGTACAGGGCCTGGCAGGCTGGATCAGGAGACTGTGCAGCGTCTTTGGCCCGGCTCTGCAACGCGCTCTGAAACGATTTCACAGAGCGGTAACTGATGAATTGCTGTGGGGGGTGACCACGCCGAAAATGGATCTCTGGAGCGGGGGGGGGCGACCTGGTTCGAACATGTCTTTCAGAGTCCACTCTGTAGGCGCAGGTTGCCGACGAAATTGTGTGATGCAAGAGGGCCAAAGCAGAAGGAAACAGAGAGGAAAGAGAAGGAGGGCCCTGACCGAACGAGACCTTAAACAGCACGCGTAACGTAGACATGACGCGCCCCATCTCTAACGGTGTCAAGTTGTACTAACAAAAAGCACGTTTAACTGTCAACACAACGTGTCCCATTAATTATTGTTACACGTCGCCGAGCTGCTTGAGTACCGAAGCTGTAGCGTGCAACGCAGCACTGATTCCCCCTTCAATGAAGGACGGTACGTTGCATTTAAACAGTCGAACCATCTCGCGTGCAGACCACAAACGGTTCGTGAACAGTGACTTTTTCAGTCTCCAAGATACCATCATGAGAATCTTCTGGATCGCAAAGGAGATTGGCAGTTTTGTATACTACAGAACCCCTAATATGTTAAATGTCTCTCCGAGCGGGCGGGTATTGTCCAAGATGTGTAAGCTTTCCCTTTTCGCTTCGGACAACACTTGATTTGCGGTGCCCCAGGCATGTAAAGAACACTGGCAACATTCATACGCGTCCAGAATTTCAGAATGGCTGCGAAATCCGTTGCGTACCCTCTAAAAGTTGAGGTCGTCAGCAAGATCACACTATTGGAACCCAGCGTTGGTGATGCAGCGGTCAGTGTTAGCGTAGTGCACGTTCCAGAGTGGAAGGCCGAGCCCCGGAGATGCGGTTGAGCCTTCCCCTGGGACAGGCGGTCCATCCTGAGACGTTTCTTGACGGCTCTGGGGCCCGTCAAGTGCCCTCACCAGGGGCTGAAGATTGGCAAACACTTTGGCCGGCGATTTTTTTCACCACGCGAAGAGGTCGAGGGCGGGAAGCATAGTTATCCATATCCACGGCCTCGTGGGCCAGGCCCTTGGGCCGCGACTCCACCGATACGTGGCGTTGCTTCTCGCTGCAATACGGACCAGTGTGAGCTCAGGAGGGGCGCTGGTGTTGGGGTCGTTCCTTCGATCCATGTGTTCAACCTGCTCGTGGCCGAGGCGTGGCCACGACCAGCAAGCCCCACCGTTTCTTACCCAGCGTCCCCTACGGAAGCACGATAACTGTATGATCGCCGCTCCCCAGACATGCGACGCTGTCTTGATTGTTTCAGTGCTGGCCCCCAGAAGTCCCACCCCATTCCCCGGGGCCGGTTTGTCATCCCGAGTCGTTGTTGGACGGGCCCAGGGCCCGGCGAAGGTCCCCAGAGGCAGAAGACGGGTCACAATTTTCGGCCGTGACGTTTTCTGACGACGCGGGCATGCCTGGGCCGTGAGGGCCCGAGACCCGCGCCGGAGGTCGACGTCGTCGAGCTCGAACCCGCCGTCGCCAGGGCGGCCGTTGAGGGCATGGGCCTCGAGCCCGGGCCCAGGCTCCGCGTCCACGTGGAGGCCCCGCCGGCCTGCCCACCGACTGCGCTCGTCGCCCACGCCGGCCAGCGGCGCCGACGACGCCGACGCCGACGACGGCGAGGCAGACGGCGCCGACGATGCCGAGCGTGGCGCCACTGCCACAACTGGCGTCTTCGCCGGGTCTCAGGCCCCAGGAGCATCGCAGATGGATCGGGCTCGAAAGACGGAGCACAAAGATGGGATCGGAGACTCCGGTCGTGATGTTTCAGGATGTTGCATTTCTGTTGTGACATCGGGTCTCAAGGGGACGGGGACGCCGCCGACGCCCACGGCGCTGACGGCGACGGCAACGTGGAGAAAGGCGGCGGCGGCGCCTGCGCCGTTGGAGGTAGGTGGTGCGCAGCTTAGCGATGGGCTCGCTCTTCACGTCCTTCTGCTCCGCCGTCCTCCTTCCAGGGTTGCCTCCTCTGACTGTCTGGAGGACCCCGCCTCAGAGGTGGGCAGGCCCCGAAGAGCAGGCAGCCCCAGGCCGTGCTTGCCGGCCTGTACGGCGCCGGCCGGTGATGGGCGGCCGGGGTCCGGGAGGCACGGCCGCGCAAGCAGGCGTCTCCGCCAGGGGGCGCTGGCCCGCCGCTCCCGATCGTGCTGGCCCAAAAGGCCCTTCGGAGTGGTGGCGCTCGCGGTGGGGCGGTCGCGGCCCCGAGGGGCCCTCCTCCTCAACCTCCTCCCCCTCCGTCTTCGTCTCCTCTTGCGCCCTGCCGTGAGCCCAGCCCGCGGTCCCAAGACGCCACGATTCTCTGGTGGCGTGGGCCCAGAGCTCCCGAGCGCTTCCTTCGGAGCCGACGTCGCGAAACAGTTGCAACATCGTGGGGGAGCTCTACCGGAGCAGTGGGCCGCACCTTTCTGCTGATTTTCTCGAGGCGGACCGATCGGTGAGGGTCACGGTGCCCGAAACAGAGCCAAACCGCCTGGCCCGAAAAGTTTGCGACGCCGGGACCTCGGAGTCCCGAGCTCGAGTCCCAGGTGCAGATTCGCGATTGCTCCGTGGGCCCGAGACGGAGGGGCTCCCAGAGCTCCTCCTCCTCCTCCTCCTCCTCCTCCTCCTCCTCCTCCTCCTCCTCCTCCTCCTCCTCCTCCTCCTCCTCCTCCTCCTCCTCGATCGGGGCATGCGAAAAACAGGCAGAGGTAGACAAAATGGCATGTGGCAAGGCGGGGTAGGAGGCCAAACTGGTGCGCCTGCCACCTTTCATTGAATACGTTAGTGTGCAAGTCATTTTCTCTCCTCGGCACGGAAACAGAGTGGCAACACACAACGGACGTAATTTGCGCACTGCGGGAGGAGAGGAGGAAGACGAGTCCTCGCAGATCGAACGGTGCGGCACCACTCCTGTTGGACTGTAGCGCCGACGGCCAACGCGCCTGCTGCCGGATCTGGACGGGCACGGGGCCACAGGGTTGTGTGCGACGAGGCCGCCAGCGGACAGCCTTGACCATGAACACCGCCAGACTGTTTCTACAGTTGTCTCTACGTCACCCTGTTCCCCCCAGCGGGCTTGGGATCGACCAGACCCGCCGTCAGACCCACCTGGCCATGCACACCGCCAGATTGCCCTGCATCGCATGGCACTGCGCGTTAGGGCACATCTCCCCTGATTTGAAAAACAACTGAGCATAAGTGAGCTTGGCTGTCATGAGGCAGCACCGTGCACATGTCTGCCAAACGCCTGGCAGAAAGCAAGGAGGGCATCGGTAGCAGTGCTGATGGCCCACACTCTTTGCTCAGTTTCATGCGGAAAAACAGCTGGCAGGGAGCACGACTATGGTCAGGCAACTTGTTGAGTGGCTGAGCGGGCAAGTTATCTTCACCCCTGCTGCGGCGCGAAACGACGGCGGAAAGCCAGCGGCTATCTGCACTCTCAGGGAGCGGCAGGAACGAGCTGTCTTGCAATGCGAAGGGTGCGGCACCAATGCCGACGGCGAACGCCTGCTACTGGGTCTATGCAGGCGCCGGACCACATGCTTGTGTGCGACGAGGCATCCTTGACCATGAGCACCGCCAACCTGTCTCACAATTGTCTCTCCCGGGCAAACTGAGATAGACAACTGCTGGCCTGTTGACCGTTGGCTGCATACTTGAGCGGGAAGTTATCATCACCTGTTGCACTCAACACAGCGGAATTGAGGCAAGCCGCGTCGGTCATCTACGCTCTCAAGGGGGGAGAAAAGGGGGTCAGAACGCAAGAAGCGGGAAAGGTGCGCTGCTGCAAATCGTACCCGCTTTTGAGGTACGTCGAGCGTGTTTCTCGCTGGCAACTGGCTTGCGGTCATGGTGAGGGGCGCCGAGAGGCCTCGCACGTGCGGTGCGCCTCGGGGGCACCGTTAGCCTCGGCTAGGCTCACGTGGGCCCTTGATCCTATCCTACCGCTGTCCGAAACACCATCAAGGCGGGGACAAATGATGGAAGGATGGGGCGAGCGAGGCGCCGTGAGCTTCTCGCTCGCTGGCGCCTGGCTGGCGGGCGCGGGGGGGGGGGGGCGACTGAGGGGGTCTCGCGCGTGTGGAGCGCCTCGGGTGCCCCATTCGCCCCGGCTGGACTCACGTGGGCCCGTGAGGAGAGAAGGAGAAATCATCGGAGGGAGAGCAGGAGCGGTGCCTCTGTCCAGGGAGGGGCCTACGGCGGCGGCAGCATCAATGACAGCAATGCCAGATAGCCTTCTCACCCAGACTTGGAACGAATACCTGCCTGCAGGGACGTCAGTGGCACATCCTGTCAAGATATTTCTGCACCAAACTCTTGGTCGACCGTCCACGTGGTCACCGCTGTCAGGCGCCTTTACCTACCCGCAGCAGCTTTTGCAGCTCTGCACTCCTTGGCATCAAGACTGCTGTGCGCCATGCGCTATGTGATGGCGTCTGTGCGTCTGTGACGGGGGATCGGAGAGGGCGGGGGAAGCAGCAGCGGTGACGGCCATCACCATCCCAGACCGCTGTGGGAGACCTGCGGAATTTAGTGCACCTAGATCTTCCTGATCCTCGTTAGCCTCAGGTGGCCCACCAGGACTGGGCGTCCAAGTGGTGTCTGCTGCCGAGTTGGGTGGGATTTGGGATGCGGCAGCAGGAGCACGTGGTTTTAGCCGATCCAGCTCCGGGACAGTCCGACTGGTGCCATGGGATCTCGACGTGAAGTCTAGAGCCGATCCCTCATACATAGCGTGGCATGGGTCTCAGAAAACATAAACACGCAGCAGCGCGGCAAGTAGGTCCTCGGGCTCGTTCGTGTTATGCGGGAAATCGTTTGGATCCGTCTGGTCCCACAACGCTTGTATTGCCGCAGCTGCGAGCACTCGCACAGCTGTGTTGCATAGATTATCTTCTTGGCCGTCCTCCACTCCTTGCGTCCAGCATCGTAACCAAGCTGCGTGTCGTGTCCTCTCCTATTGTGCGAGCAGCGCCCGTTACCTGGCGTAGCAACAAGACTACATTGCAGGCCTGGCATTCTCAGGGCAGGTATGCGTGTGGGTGCTCAGGACGTCTGTCCGTGCTCACATAGATCGAAGTCAGTGCGCATGGCGGCCAGCGATGTTATGATAGCACGGAGCGGACGCCGTGTGAAACAAATGATGGCCTGAAACCTCCAGTCGCACGGTTGCGGGTGCTCCATCCAGCATGACGTGCCAATTGCCATATGTTCTTCAAAGAGTGTTGGCATAGCGCGTAGCAGTGCGTTGCCTACTCGCATTTGCTCCATCTGGTGTGGGGGATCACTGCTGTCTTGCCCCGGAACTCGTCATGTCTACAATGGGGGGTTCACGACCGTTCGGCCCACCTGGAAGTTGACCAAGTCTCGTACGGTGGCCCTCCCCCAGACACGACAACGCCCCAAGCTTTGATGTGACGCTTCCAGATGTCTGGCATCGTGCGGTTCATCATCTCCCCAAGTGTCTCGTGTGTCGCGATGCCTACGGACAATATGATTCCTGAAACATCTGTGTGATAATGTGTCCACTCCACCTGCGCCTGCACGTCTCCTGCCCTCCCGCGTCGAGATCATTATGTTGTCCCCCCTCGGGGGTCACATGTGCTGCCCCCCAGAGCCCCCTCGTAACGGTAACGCTTGCAAGCTGGCCACAAGCGTCAATTCTCGCAGTCCAGAGGACATTGTGAGGAGTACACAGGCGCCCCGGCGCACGCTGGCTTCTACGAAAGGCCAGTGCATTGCGTGCACACGGGCGTTGTGGTGTGCAGGCACTGTGGCCTACGCGTACGCTGCGGTGCACATGGCTGCTTCAGCGTGCACAGGCGTTGCGGTGTTCACAGGCGTTCAGACGCACGCAGCCACAGTGGTGTACACCAGCGCTGTGGTGCACGCGGCTGCTGTGGTGTACCCAGGCGTTTAGGTGTGCGAAAGCGCTGCGGTGCAGCAGAATGAGATCAAAGGAGGAGGAGAAGGAGGAGGAGGAGGAAGAGCAGATCGATGAGGAGGAGGAGGAGGAGGAGGCCGGGGGCACGCCTGGCCACGATCATTGTTGATGCGTCCCCCGTGAGAGCCCTGAAGGACGAGCCCCGAGGGTCTCATGAGTCTGCGGCGAGCCTCGCGAGGAAGCGGAACAGGAGGAAGAGGAGGAAGGAGGAGGAGGGGGACGCAGGAGGAGGGGCCTGGTGGAGCGAGCGGGCCATCAGTGTAACAGACGGCCGTTCCCGGTCGGTGCCCTGTGGTTCTGGCGGCGACGACGGGACGAGGAGGAAGAGGAGGGGTAGGAGGAGGTGGATGGGGGAGGCGGGAAGGAGGAGGAGGAAGAGGTGACAGATGAGTCCGAAGGGCCTCCGCGGTCTGTGGCGAGCCCCGCAACAAGTCTCCGCTTGTCCTTTCCCAGTTTCTGTTGTTGCCGCCATTCAAGTCAGAGGTTCGCGCCATTCCGCCATGCGGTCGCCCCTGGCGCACTGGTGCTCACGAGCGCAATGTGTTGCTCGCAAGCTTTCACTGTGCCCGCTGGCTCGTTCGGCGTCCTGGTGTGCACACAGGCGTTGTGGTGCACGGAGGCATTGTGGTGTGGTGTTCGCAGGCGCTTTGGTACACATGGTTGCTGTGGTGTAGACAGCCGCAGTGCTGTATACATGCATCTTTATGCACGCAGGCCTGTGGGTTACACATGCACTGAAGTGTACAAAACTGGTGCGCGCGGCTACTGTGATGTACGGAGGCACTGTGACGGAGGCGGCGCTGTGTTGCACGCAGGCGTTTGGCATTGTCGTGTGCACAGGACAGGGACTGGCACGCAGGCTTTGGGCATTATCGTGTGCACAAGGACTGTGGTGCACACAAGCGATTGATGTGCTGGTGGCGCGGACCCACCCTGGCGGGTGCACGCCGCGGCCGCAAAAGATACTCCACCCATCGCACTCCCTGGGGCACCTCTTGACTGGCCGTCTTTGTGTATCTTTCAGATAGGAAAAGCCTGCTGGGATATCTTCTTATAGAGCAGTCGATCGCAGGCTGTTGGCTTGGCACGGCGGCATCGGGTGGTGGCAGCAAGGCAGCGATCGAAGACGTCGGTATCGCTGGATCTGCCACAAGTCGATTGTATCCGGCGTTGGCCTGGGACATCGATCTTGCCACGTTCGTAACATTTTCTGGCAGGGCCCCTTCTGTCGAATCAGAGACCACGACGTGTCGCCGTCCAAGGGCCACTGTGTGGGCCCTGATTCCGTTGCCGGGTGCAGAGGTCCTGGTCGTATACATCGTATGCTGGGCATGCCCTATGGATTGTTGACGTCGGTACCGGAAGCCCCACAATAGGACCGTTCAGTATATGAACAAGCAGGGGGGAGTTTGAAGCAAGACATTGTCCGTTGGGAGCCGCCCTAGCATTAGCGTCGCAGCTTGCTGCATTCGTCTGCATGCAACGTGTGTATTCTGAGGGGTGCGCGCTTCTTGTACTACACACTGCACAGTTGACACGTTAGGCTTGGCGTGTCTGGCTGGGCTGGTGGGTATACCAGCATATTGCGATCGTCTGTGTACACACTTTCTGGTACGCCGCATGGTAGGAATGTTGCAAAGAAGCTGTGCTCTATACCCTTGGTCATCATATTGCGAATGTGGGCGTGTGCCGTACTACGCAGGGCTTATCCGATTATCCGGTTCCATGCGTTCTGATTTCTGCGTATGAGGTCCTCCCACTATGCACAGTCCTCCAATGTTGGTTAGTCTTCATAGCGTAGCACTGTCTTACGTAGCCACGTGCAGTTGCCAAGTACCATACCGAGCCATGTGTGCGTGCCCGCTCCGCGTACATTCCACTCGTCCCTGAGCAGTGCCAACACTGGTTTAGGATTTATGGGCAGCAGTGATCCTAGCAATCGCAGCCGTGCCGCTCGGAGTAAGTGTTGGCGTTGAGCTCCCTGCAGCCCCGCTAATACCTGAGCGTGTATCACACATGAATATGATGCACCTGACCTCAACAGCTGACCGATATACCTTCGTTGCCTCTGCTTCGACTTGACGGGACTCGCCAATCGTGAGGCTTGCCCACGCTCCTGCATTGTACAGCCTGCCCGGCATGACGATATTTAATGCGACCACCATGCGCGTAGCATCGCTCAGGGCAGTGTGGGGCGAACACCCTGGAGCGCAACGCAACACTCGTAGCGTATCTGTAGTGGGCGTGGCGCGGTGTCGGGTCTTTGGCATAATCGCACCACTAGCATCAATCATTCACCTCAGGTGTAGGCAGTTCTGAACAGCGAAGTCGTACCGCTCAGTGTGCCTCCGTGCGCGTGCCATGTGCTCCTCCTGGCCGCCAGAGAGGAGTCAGAGGAGGTAGGAGAGAGGAGATGAGGATTTGGGACAAGTCAGATGTGCTCGCGCCACACCTGACATCCGATCCCTCTCACCCATCCCTTACCATCACTACGTTGAAACCTTTAGAAGCCCAGAGGACTTTGACATTCTTGAGGAAGAGTAGGCAGGAGGAGGAGGAGACGGATGAGGGACGAGAGAGGAGGGGAGGGGGAGGCGGACGAGGGATCGGAGGTGAGGGGAGTGGAACGGAGAGCCCCCCTACCGGGAAATCGATTTCGGTTTCGTGTTCGTGCGTGCCGTGCGGGCGAGGCGAAGTTGGGTGGGCGGGCGAGAGAAAGTCTCCTGTGGCTGAGGCGCGGCCGGACCAAATGACTCCCTTCCGGGCGGCCGGTGGCCCGCGGTGTCCCGCCGGTGTCCCGCTGGTGTCCCGTGTGGCTGAGGCGCGGCTGGACCAAATGACTCCCTTCCGGGCGGCCGGTGGCCCGCGGTGGCCCGCCGGTGTCCCGCGGTGTCCCGCGGTGTCCCGCGGTGTCCCGCCGGTGTCCCGCGGTGTCCCGCGAGGATGATGATGATGAGATGGTGATGGTGATGATGATGATGATGATGATGATGATGATGATGATGGTGATTATGATGATGATGAGATGATGATGATGATGGTGTCCCGATGATGATGATGATGTTGATGATGGTGTCGATGATGATGATAGTGTCCCGATGATGAGGATGATGATGCTCATGCTGATGCTGTTGATGATGATGACGATGATGGTGTCCCGATGATGATGATGATGATGGTGATGATGATGATGATGATTCCGATGTTGTTGGTGATGATGATGTTGATGGAAATGGTGTCCCGGCGATAATGATGTTGATGGTGATGATGTTGATGACGATTATGGTGTCCCGATGATGATGTTGATGATGATGGTGATGATGATGACGGTGATGCTGATGGTGTCTCGATGATGATAATACTGACAATGACGATGTTGATGCTGATGTTGCTCATGATGATGATGGTGCCCCAATGATGATCATGTTGTTGATGATGATGATGTCGATGATGATGATGCGATGATCATGATGATGGTGTCCCGAGGATGATGACGATATTGATGATAATGTTGATGATGAGAACGATGGTGATCATGATGGTGTCCTGACTATGATGATGATTATGATGATGCTGCTGATGATGATGACGATGACTGTGTCCCGACGATGATGATGATGATGATGAGATGATGATGGTGATACTGATGATGATGATGATGATGTTGTCCCGATGGTGATGCTGACGTTGATGATGATGTTTATGATGATGATGGTGATGATGATGACGGTGCCCTCATGATGATGACGATGTTGGTGATGATGTTGATGTTGATGATTTTGATGATGATGATGATGATGATGAGGTTGATTGTGAGAGCGATTGTGATATCGATAGTGAGATCGATATTGAGACCGAATGTGAGATCGATTGTGTGATCGATTGTGAGATCGATTGTGAGATCAATTGTGAGATCGATCGAATGAGATAGATCGAGTGAGATCGCTTGTGAGATCGATCGAGTGAGATCGATCGAGCGAGACCGATAGTGAGATCGATACTGAGATCGATAGTGAGACCGATCGAGTGAGACGTTGGTTCCCCCCCCCCGAACCTCCTTATCACCCGAAGGGTTGTCGTATAGGTAGGCGATGAAGTTTCCTGCAGCCTCCAAGGCCTTCCTGAGACCTCAGGCGGCAACGGTACCCAAACGACGACGACGCCCCGACGATAAAGACAACGACGCCCCATCCGACGACGACGACGACGTCCAACCGACGACGAGGCGATGCTGGTCAAGAGGCCTGGATGGCGACAGCCCACTTGCGACGATGCCAACGATGACAACTACGACGACGACAACGACGACGTCGCCCCTCCCCCCGACGACGACGACGACGGCGACGACGTCCAACCGACGACGAGGCGATGCAGGTCAAGACGCCTGGACGGCGACAGCCCACTTGCGACGACGCCGAAGACGACGACGCCCCCCCCGACGACGACGACGACCACGACGACGACGACAGCGACGACGACGTGAGGTGACGACCACGGAGGTGTTGACGACGATGACGACGACGATGACGACGACGACTCCCTCCCGACGACGACGACGACGACGACGACGACTACGACGACGACGGCGGTGACGACGACAACGTCGACGACGACGACGACGACGACGACGGCGGCGACGACTCCGACGACTCCGACGACGACGACGACGACGACGACGACGACGGCGGCGGCGGCGACGACGACAACGACCACGACGACGACGACGACCACGTCGACGACGCCGGCGGAGATGACGAGGACGGCGACGACGATCACGACGACGACCACCACGACCCTGACCACGACCCCGACCACGACGAGAACGACGACGACGGAGGATACCGTGTCGACGACGCCCCCCCCGACGACGACGTCGACGAGCACGACGACAACGGCGACGACGACGTCGCCTACGACGACGACGACGACGACGACCCCGACGACGACGACGATAACGTCGTCGACGACGACGCCCCCACGACGACCACGCCGACGACGACCACGACGACGACATCGACGACGACGGCGTCGACGTGAGAGACTTCGGTGGCACGGTGGAGGGACGACGTCGACCATGTCGACATCGACGACGTCGGTGGCTCCAGTCCGCGCAGGACGGCGGCCGCTTCGCCCTGCGCGCCGCCGGCGCGGGCACGGACGAGGCAAGGCCGCTCCGCGAAAGGGACTTCTGGTTGGCCGTCCCTGTGTCCTCGCTCCTCGCTCTCGTCGGGGGGAGGGGCCGATATTGATCGAAGAACTGAAGACGACACAGGCAGAATTTCTCGGCGGCCGGCCTGGATTTCTTGGATCGGTTCCCAGCGCAGATCCCAGGAATCCGCGCGGACCCCAAGAAATTATTCGTATGCCGTTTCTTCTTCTTCGAATTGATGCCGAGTTGCCGAGCATAGAAAGCAGCTGCGAACGCGTGGATGGCGCCTTGAGCGCCCGTCGGGACGCGGCGAACGCGTCGATGACGCCCTGAGCGGCCGCCGGAACGCGAAGACACCCGGGATTTCCACCAGGGTGACGTTGCGAATCTGAACTTTATTGTTGTAGCCCGCGCTGCCGTCCCAGGTTGTACGCGCTGTTGGCTGCCGGTCCTTTCATGGCTTCCATCGCCTCCTCATTCTCCTCCTCCTCCTCCTGCTCCTCCTCCTCCTCCTCCTCCTCCGCGGACCCCCTCCGTAGCCATTTTGGCTCAAGTCCGTTCCCTCCTCGGGGGTCTCGGACTTGGCCGAAATGGTCACCACAGCTGTTTCGCCCAAGGCCCTCTGGCCCAGCGCCGCGCCGCCACCGTTTGAGGCCCGCGGAGCCATGTATGTCCACGGGGTGGCGTCTGCTGCCTCTGCTGCTGACGCTGTTCGCCATGCCGCACCGCAGGAGTGCTGACGCTCTGCATCGCCGTGCTTGCCGAGCGCTGCAAGGCGGTCGCGGCCCAGCACGAGTTGACAAGCGCCAGGCACTTCAAGTACACGTACTTTTTCCACACACTGCTGCGTTTCCTGCCGCTTTGCGGGTGGTCACTCCGCTGGGCATCTGCATGAGCAACGAGTTGCCGCTGGTCGCGAATTTTCTGCAGTTGATCCGTGGACGACCTCCTGACGATGCCCCTGGTCCCGAAGTTCAGCCTCACCGCCCTGCAGATGCCGATGCTGCGCCGGCTCATGATGAGCATGCTCGTGCTGACATCGCCCATGGTCGCCTTCCTCGTCGTGACGCTGAGCCAGAGGTCCCGCGAATCGGCGCTGGACCGCTGCCTGCCCATGGCGATGGCCCACGTCCACAACCCGCTATGCTTCATGGCGCTTGGCTTCTTCCTCGGCTTTTCTCTGGCGCTCCTGCTCCTGTCATGCATGCCGCTGCCGCCAGTGGCTCCCGTCCACGTGGCGCTGGTGAGGCACCTAGCGATGGCCCGCGTCCACAACCCGTTCAGTAGCATGCCGCTGAGCCTCTTGCTCGGCTTGCCACAGGCGCTGCCGCTCCCGACCCTTCTCTGCATGCCGCTGCTGCTGTTGGCGCCCGTTTTCGTGATCAATATGTTCTGCATGCCGCTGCTGTTGGCCGCGCCTGTACTCGTGTTGCTGGCGATACTCCCGCTGCTCTCCGTCCACTTGTACGCGAATGGCATCGGGTCGCACGGCGTAAGATTCATTGGTCCTGAACATACCCCTACCTGGGGTCGGCCTGGGTGAAAAGGGCCGTCCGCTGGATTGGGCGTTTGCCACTGCGCCCGATTAGCCTGCCGCGTGCGCGCTGTTTCAGCATCCGCGCGTCAGGACGCAGAGACGCGCTGAACGACTGGTTGTTGGATTGCAGCGACATGTCCTGATTTGCGTCAGGGACGTCTGGGGGTATCGGGGGTGTCCGCGGGGTTTAGAACAGCATTGGAGTGGTGGTGCCTGTCCCATTTGGGGACAGGCACCACCGCCCCGTTGCGTTTGGACCTGGCCGCAGGAGCGTTGTTGCAATATCACGCCCCCCCCGGGGGCCGCTGCGGCCGCGTTCGGGAGCGCACTCGGGGGCCACGCGTGCGCCCGACAGCGATTACGACAAAACGCCACTTCGACGAGGTACGGGGACGTGTCCGGGGGCACCATCAGCGCGCGTCGGCGACTGGGCCCCCCGACACGTACCCGGACGGACCTAGCTGGGGTGACGCCAGGCGGGTTTTCCAGGGAGCAGCCCTTGGCGACCGCGCCTGGCGTTCGGGGCCCCAGGCGTTTGGGGCGAGCGCGAGATTGCACCGGCGCCCGCCCAGGACACCCTGGACGTATTTTGCGCGTCGACCCCCAAACGCTTGATTGTGCGCGTTCGTGGGCGCACCTCCGAACGATCTACTCTATCCCGAGAGCGACCAATGCGTGGTCGGCCATTCTGCCGAATGGAACGCGCGCGCCTTCGGTGCCAGCGGATGCCCTGAGAAGACAGCGCCCTGTAATGTTCCATGGGCCGTCGCATCTGCACATGTGCAACAGCCGTCGGCTGCGGCATGTCGTTCCCCCCGCCTATTGCCACCCCGCCTGGGTAGGGTACGGGTATCTTTCGCGCTCGAGCAAGACGCTACTCCAGAACAGGCCCTTCATCCGCTGCTTCGACGCGTGGTTCGTCCTCGTGTTCGGGTCTTCCTTGTCCTCGGATAGCGACCCGCCTGACGAGGCTTGCGCTGAATATGATGATGCTGCGGCCGGTGGCGAACAAGTGCTCGACGACGCTGCCGCGTGTGGCGAACAGTCTGCTCTCGAAGTTGCTTTTTTGCTGACCGCGATGGTGCTGCCGCTGCAGGCGAAAAAGTGCACGTCGACGCTTCCGCGTGTGGTGCACATCCTGCTCTCGAAGTATATCGCGATGCCCTTCCGAGTGTACGTGTGCTCGACGGCGTCCAAGACGCTGCCGCTGGTGTGGATTGAGCTGCTCCTGCTGGCCTTCGGCGAGTGCTCGATGGCGGTTCCGATGCCTGGGCTGTCCCTGGGGCGCCGCACCTTCGTCGCTCCGATCTGCTCCAACTCAGAAGCTGCAGTCTGGCTCTCGCTGGTCTGGTCGATAAAATTGTGCTTTGTGGTGTCGCGCCGCATGACGATGCTCGTGCTGCTCCGCTGCCTAGGGTGGCGTTAGCAGCCCACCATGCAGCTCGCGACGTCCAACCACATGGAGGTGTCGACCACGGGTGGGGCATCTGCTGGGACTACGAGCGCCTACGCTGGGATCGATTGGCTGACCCTGCCGCTCATGCTCATCCCGACGATCACGTCCTGCCTGATGCCGCCGCTTTGGGCGCACAAGCCCCTCCCGCTGAACGAGTCCCGCATCACGCTGCCATTGGTGCCCATCCTGCGCATCCCGAAGAAACTCTGCATGCTGATGCACGCGCCGTTCCGCCGCCTAGCGTGGCTGCCGCTGCGCGTGAGGCCCCCGAGGCCACCCGCTAATGTATCCCTGAACCCAACGCCTGGCTCACTCCACCACGCTCTTCCCTGTCTTCGCACCTGCCACCAATCTCTGCTTTTCCCGCTTTCCCGGGCATTGACATCAAAGTGCGCCCGAATGCTGCGGCCAGCGCAGCCACATACTACAGTGTAGCAGAGTGATAGGCGTGGCAGTGGGTGAGAGCGACCGGGATCATCATCAGCCTTCGTCTCGCTTCTTGTGCGCTTGCCCTCGTTTTTTCTCGCTCAAGCTACCTGAACTTCTCCGCGGGCCCCCACGTGTTACCGCCTGCTCAAATACAGGAGGACCGTTGTTATCACGACGTGCTAGCGTTGGGGGCGCGCGGCGGCGCGCATCAAAGCGCGTGAGGAGGCTGCCGCGCCACCTGCTGTTTAAGGTTGTTGTGTTACGGTCTGCACTGGTGCCTCCTAGGAAAAATGACCTCCACGTATTTGTTGGCTTGAGTTTGGTTTGATGCTGTCCCGTCTCGGAATTCATTTGTTCCACCGGCTGCGACCGGTGGTGCCCGAATCGGCCCCGCCAGAGACTTGAGTTATGTCTCGAAAGCTGACCTCCCGCGCTGAACACATCGCAACGGGACCAGGGCACTATCGACCTCCGCAACCATCAATATAGTACTCAGGATGAGAAACTCGCCAGGAAAAGGTCCAGACCTCTTGGGGTCCATCTATTCAGGCCTGCCGAATGGGGTCAGAGTAATTTCGGTTAGAGGAGTTGGGAGCCTATTGGCCCCGGCCCTACCTAGGAGGCTTTGATTCGAAACGCAGCGACCGAGGGAGATCTGCGAATCTATGTTTTTGAGCCTGTTCTGCCTTCTGCTGGGCCGCTCCTGGCCTTCCTCGAACGATGTGGTCAGAACGCCCTTTTAGGTTATGTGAGAGGGTCGATCTTCGAGCCCCGTGCCCAGACTTCCCGTCGCTGTGACAAGGAGCGGCGCAACGTGTTGTCAAAGTCTCGGCTTCCAACCGACCTTCGCCAGCCCCGGGGGATCGCCACCACACATGACTCGGGCAGATTTGTGGGCCCTGGTGGAGCAGGTCGAGACCTCCTGGGACCACGTTGCTAAACATATCTTGGCGAAGGACCCAACCATATGCAGTTGCGAGTGCAGCGTTGTGGGTACCGTTTTCGGTGGAGCGTCCCTTTGGGGTACGAAGCGCGTGAGGAGTAACGCAGCCATTGGGGCCTTCGGTGGAGCTCCGTGTGGTGTTTCCTTTTTCGGCCAAGAAACGTGTAAAAGGTGTGCTGAAGCGGGCGCGGCGGTGCCATGCGGGCGCTGCCACTGGGGGCGTAGGTGGAGCTCACTGTGGGGCCACGAGACGTGTGAGGGTTGTACCGAAATGAGCGCGGCGGTGCCATGCGGGCGTTGCTACTGGCGCCATCGGTGGAGCTCCCTATGGGGCCTAGAAGCGTGTGAGGGGTGAGCCGACACGGGGGCGGCGGTGCCACGCGGGCGCTGCCATTGGGGCCTTCGGTGGAGCTCACTCTGGGGCTGCGGAACGTGCGCGGGGTGCGCCGAAGTGGGTGGGATAGTGTCATGCGGGCGCTGCCACTGGGGCCGTAGGTGGAGCTGCCACGAAACGTACGAAAGGTGTTCCGGAACGCGTGCGGCGGGTGCCATGCGGGTGCTGCCCCTGGCGCCTTCGGTGGAGTTCCCCATGGGGCCGCGCAGTTTGTGAGTTATGCCGACATGGGGTGGTGGCCCCCTCAGTTCGATAGACGTACTCCATGCATGACAATGAATCCAGAGCAAAGCTTCGCAGATGTGATTATCACTGGCGATGATGAGGTTATGTCGCTCTCTGATCAGCCGACCCCTGATCTTCCTGAGTGAGGCTCCGTGCTGTCGCTGCCGTTGTTGCTTGTTGTGTATTTCAGTCTTTCATGTCTGTGCAAGCGCTGTGCCCAGGCGGTCGAGCTTGGGCTGCGCAGCCGTGTGCACCTGGCACTGTCGAAACACTTCGGGGTGTGGACGGCGGACTTGCAATTCTGTTTGATTGTATGATGGGTTAGGGCCCTCCTCCCTCCCCGCCTCTCCCCTCGCCTTTCGTCGCTCGGCCTGGCCTCTCGGTCGCCTCGGCCCGCTCGGCCCCTTGCTCGGTCCCTTCCGGTGCGTCGGTCCTTCCGTCCTGGCATGGCTTCTCACCGCGTGAGCTGACTAGAAACACCTTGTCCATAGAGTGGAATTACCATTGACTCATTCGTCCAACAGCCGTGTGCAATGCAACGCAATGGTCGCCCCCCCTCCCCTCCCCTCGCCCCATCCCCCCCGCCATTTCCGAGGCCGACTCGGCATCGGCCACCGGCTCCGCCAGGGGCGACGCCTACGACGCTGTGCTGGCCAGGGGCTCGGACCTGATGGAGGAGATGCAGGACGAGGAGGAGGAGGAGGAGGAGGCTGGGAAGTATTCGGCCGCCTTTCGAGCGGCGCCATGTCCTACATGACGAGGTCGAAGCAAGCGTATCCAATTTCATTCAAGGTCCCGATTCAAAGATGCCCAGGGACACGGCCGCAAGATTGACAGGGAATCTCGATAAGGACCTTCGTTTTAAGTACCCCTCCATCCCGATGGTTGTACAGATCTGTCCAGCCAAAGACGCAAGTGCACAAGGCCTGCATCACGAACACGAAATAAGGCCATTTCCGACATAGACTCCCACCACCATGAGAAGTTGAACTCAAGGATCGTCTCATCCCCCCACGGCCGCCGTAAGTGACGTGCGGCGAGGAATTTGCAAAACAAGGAGCAGCCCACCTTGGCGGCAATCAGCACTGCGGCAGGCAAGGATGCTACATGGCCAGGCTCCATCCTCTGTGAAACACTTCAATGAAACTTGCAGCTTTAGGGAGTTAGTCGAAGCAAGGGTGAGCTAATCGTCAAAGCATCCTATACAACTTGCGCGCCGCTTGTCTTGTCACCCTGAGAGGTTCCCTTATGGGAAGTGGCTCCAGGACTCGTCAACAGACTTTTAGACTCGAGCCAAGCTGGGACCGGTGTATCCTCTGGGGTCGTCTTCTCACAGCCCCGGGACTATCAAAAAAACGGCCTGGGAGGGCACGCTGGTCCCAGGGAACACTCCAAGCCTCCAGAGACTGATCGCTGCGACGCCAGGGGGCTTGAGCGTCGGGGGTCTGGTGCTTCGATTCACGATTTCGGCTTCCGCTGTTTCTTTCTCTTTGTCAAGGCCAGGCATGACAGAAAACCTCCTCGGGTGACACCCGTGTCGAAAGGATCGGATGGCAGATGGTAAACGGGGGGCGGATCAAAGGTTGCAGGGAAGGGGTCCTAAAGGGACCCTGGGGCCCCGAAAGTGGGCGAAAGGTGCACCTTTCCACACCCTCCAGTTTATTGCCCCGCCCCCCCCCCTTTCCCCCCCATATGGAGCTGTGTCCGAAAGAGTTTGGATTCGAGATCTCTACTGAGGAGTGGGCCGTGGGCACGGAGTGAGGCCGCGTGTCGCGTGAGAAGATGGGCGAGAGTGGCGGTGAGCGGGCAGCGAGAGGGCGGGGTGGGCGCAGGAGAGAATCCTAGATCTCCGGCGATGTTATTCGCTCAACCGGCGGTTTCCCTCGATTTGCGCACCTGGGGCCCTTGTATACGGATGCAGTGGGGCCAGCGGCTTCTAAGAAGCAGCCTCCTTGAAAGAAGCATTCCCCCTTGCCCCTGCCCCCTGTGCGCTCCGCCAAGGCCCGTGGTCGGGCCCGGGGCCATCAGAACTGGATGCAGGACAAACAACTCCCTCCGGAGGCCCTGCATTTCAAGACGTCTCGCCGTCTGCGCCGTCCCCCTGCTGATGCTCACGCCCATGGCCCTCCTCCGCAGCCCCCCCCCTCTCCGGATCCCTCTGTCCTCCTGCACCTTCTTCATTCCTTTTCCTTATGAAGAACGCTTCCCTGTCACACCCCGAAGCCAGCCGGAAGGGCGGGCTGGGCGTTTCGCTTGAGACTTCCTTACGACTCATGAGCTTCAAGTTGAAAAAATGACAGCAGTTTCAAAGATGGATGGCGGGCCGCTTCAAATGTGGCTTAGCGCCGCGCGCACTCGTCTTAAACATGATTCAGGGTAAGTCGTTTTCAAAAGGTGGCTCTCGTCTTAGCGCCGCGCACAATCGTCTTTATCTGTTGCAAGAGGTTCGGATTGAGGACAGGTTGTTTTCAAAATGTGGCTCTCGCCTCAGCGCCGCGCACAATCATTCTGACATATAGTTGCGGGTTGAGGACAGGCCGTTGTCAAAATGTAGATCTCGCTTTAGCGCCGCGCAAGTTCGTTAGCAATGCAAGAGGTTCACGGATTGAGGACAGGGCGTTTTCAAAATGTGGTTCTCGCCCAGGCGCCGCGCATTTTTTCCGCTGCAGCGCGGCAGAGGCAATACGCACGCGCGTCCGAGCGACACCGGGGCGCGGATTCGCGAGTTCACCCACATGCGGCAGGGGAGGAAAAGAGGAGGAAAAGAGGAGGAGGCGGCCACGGGAGTGAGCGAGGCGCGGGGGCGCACTCACGCAGCGGGGCTGCGGTGGGTGTGGGCGCAGCCTGGCTGAGGGTCCAAATTGGCAGCGGCTGCGGGTCGGCTTCGCAATGCACTTAGTGAAAGCCGGGTGGCTGGCGGAAGGGGGGGGAGGCAAGGGGGGGAGGCACTGGCGCGGAGCCGGCGGCCAGAAGACGGCCAGCGCTGCAGCAGCTGCGGGGGGCCCCAGGCGGTGGATGATGCGGCGGCCCCGAGGCGGGGGCGGCCGACAGACATCAGTCGCGGGGCGCAGCGGAGGCAGGGGCGGACGAGAAGTAGAACAGCCAGTGCGCGGCATCACAGCAGGGAGTTACGCGCCGCACAGTGCAAGTGGCGCACGAGCGGGACACCCCAGAGTGAGGGGACGGGCCCAGCCGGCCGTCCAGGGTGGCGGCGTGGGCAAGGTGGGGGCGATCCGCAGTGGCGGTGGCCCCCCTGGCGGGGCAGCGAGACTGCGGCCGGGGTAAATCCGTTGGTGGCGCAGGAGCTGCAGCCCCCGCATGACCCGGCGTCCGCACTGCCCCTGGGGTGGGGCGGGAGACGTGCTCCGGAGGGGGCGGTCCGCCCAAGGCCGGTGCGCGGCATCACGGCCTGGGACGGCTGCAGGGGTCGAGTTGCATAGCGGAGTCGACCAGGGGGAGGGGGGGCAGCGGCTGGCGGCAGCCGGGGCGGCAAAGCGGGAGGTGAACCGCAACGGCGGAGACCCTGAAGTGGGCAGCAGGCGCTGCCGACAGGGGTGGAGCCCCTGTCGGCCGCACGAGCTGAAGGCAGCAGCACCGGCGGGGGCGGCCCAGCGCTGGCTCGCTTGGCGAGGGGCGGTGGGCCAGGGGCTGGGCGGAACGGGGGTGGCGGAGGGGGAGCCGCCCAGGCGCGACCGCGCACCGCCTGTGTTGGACGATGCGTGGGAGCCTAGGCAGGGAGCGTGTTTTTGAGGCGCGGCGTGAAGCACCTAATTAGTGCGCGTACTGGTGGGATAGGTAGCGGGCGGCGCCTTCCTGTGCTGGAAGGGCGCAGCCGTTCCCACAGGCGGAGCCAGGTAGGACGGAGCACCTAACCGGTGCGCAAGCCGGTGGGAAACAGGGGAGCGGTGGCCTCCTGGGTTGGAAGGCGCACCGCAGTCTTCAACACGGAAGCGAATGTTCCACCCTGGTGCGCAGGTTGCTGGACAAACCTCGCGGGCCAGCCAGGGCACACGCTTCGCCATTGCGGGAGCCTCTTGGGTTGGAAGGTTCCCGCGGATCCGGCACAACCAGGTAGACGGAAGCACCTAATTGGTGCGCTTGTTGGTGGAGATTGCATGCAGGGCGCCTGCGTTGGACGCCTGCACGCTCGCGATGTTGCAGGCCCCGTCCGGCCCTTGCGCTTCACAAGCCTCGCAGCTGGGATTGGTCTCCTGCAGGCTAGGTTGGCTCGCTGTGCCTCTTGCCGCCCTGCCCCTTGCTGGCCATCTGCCCCTGCCTGCTCTGCTGCTGTCGCCAGACTGTGTCCCAATCCACGTCCAAGCGTCAGTTGTTGCTGAGGCGCCGAATGTCGTAGTCCACGGTGGCCAGCTCTGCCAGGAAGGCCTCGCATAATCCCTCGTATCCGCTGGGGTTGTAGGCGCCCTTGCCCTGAATTTTCCCGCCCCGCGGGTCGCAGGCCTTGTCCCATCCCTCTACGAAAAACGCGCCGCACGTTCTTTTCAGGCGGTTGACCACCTCCGCCCACGTCTCGGTCTTGTTTTCTGAGCGACGCCACTGCGGGTCCCACTGGGTGTCGGTCCGGGGGGTTCGATACAGCCGGTCTGAGCGTTCGGTCTATTCCCTCCAGCCGGAGGCGCCCCTGGACTGTCCGATACATTCGTCCTGCTGGCTCCCTGAACAGACTCTCGGTTATGATTTGTGCGTCTCTCTCTCTTATGTTCTTTCTGTCTTTCTTTCTTTCTTTCTCTCTCTCTCTCTCTCCCTCTCTCTCTCTCTCAAACTAAACATGCGTGTAGATGCATACATCTGTATATATATATATATATATATATATATATATATATATATATATGCGTACCAGGATAGATTCCCCCAACGGTGTTTGCACTTAGTGATTATTCTTTTCTCTTCGGAGGAACTGCGCCCACTCGCGGCCCCGGCGGCCCCGTTACCGTCCGTCGCCGCACCATGTTTTCACGTTGAGAGTCCCGTTTGCAGGCCCTGCGGCCCAGTTGCCGTCCGTTGCCGCCATCCCTTTGCACACATGGCATTGCAGTCGCATTGCATTGCATTGCATTGCAATCGCACGGCATTGCGCTGCAATCGCATGGCATTGTGTCGCAGTGTTTTGCATTACATTGCATTGCAATCATCTTGTGTTGCAGATCGATTGCTTTGCATAGCTTTGCATGTCGCTTTATAATGAGTTGCTTTGCGTTGTTTTGCACTGCGTTGCATCACATCGATCGCATCTCATGTATTGCACCACGTAGATTGCACTATACTGGTCGGGCGTAGTTGTCTCCGAAGGTCTCCTATGGTGTCCCATTGTCTCCCGAGGTCGATCCTCATCCGAATCCCCATCCCCTTATCCCTATGCCTGCATGTTCATCCCTTTCCTTGTTATCTCCTCCCTTATCCTTCAGCTCCCTACTCCCGTCCCTATATCCCTAGCCCTGCATCCCTATCCCTATCCCGATCCCCCCATCGTGGCCCCCCACTGTGACCCCCCATTGTGGCCCCCGTTGCGTAAAACTGTTAAGGGCCTTCTGCCGCAAGGGTATCATTTCTGGTCGATGCGTGGCCCCTGGACCTCTCGACCTCTTCCTCTGAGAGAACGCGTTTCACGGGCGCTCGCCTTGGGAAAATTCGGCGGTGCGTTTCGAGCCAGGGGGTGGGCCCCCCCCAACTCTTGGCGCCGTCGATCCAAACCAGGGAGACTTCCCTCCCCCCAAACCCCCCCCCTCCCGAACCCCCCCCCCTCCTTCCCGCGGGGGGGGGGGGGGCTCAAAACATCCCACATCACCCCCCTCCCTTGGCGCCGGCGCCAGCGCTGGCGGCCGCCAGCAGAGCCGACGGTGGGGTCGCAGCGACGATGCAAGGGGGGGAGGTTTCAACCCCCCCCCCCTGGCGCCGGCGCCGGCGCTGGCGGCGGCCAGCAGCGCCGGCGCTGGCGCCGGCGACGGCGGGGACGCAGGGACGATTACCACCACTACCACCACCACCACCACCACTACCAGAACCACCACCGCCTCAGCCCACCACCACCACTACCACCAACTCACCACACAACTACCACCACCACCACAGCCACCACCACCACAACAACCACCACCACAACCCACCATCACCACCAGCATTACAAAAACCCACCACCACTACCACCACCCCCATAATTTACCACACCACCGCCACCACCGCCACAACCACCACCACTACCAGCAGCACAACCCACCGCCACCAACCACCACGCCACCACCACCGCCACCACCACCACCACCACCAGCACCACCTCCACAAACCACCGCCACCACCATCACACCATCACCACCACAAACCACCACCACACCACCATTACCACCACCACCACCACAACTCACCATCACTACCACCAGCACCACAAACAAAACCCACTACCGCCACCACCACCACCAGCACCGCCACCACCACAACCCATCACCACCACCACAAGCCACCACCACAAACCACCACCAAACCACCACCACCACCACCACCGCCACCACAATCCACCACTACCACCACCACTACCACCACCACCACCACCACAAACCACCACCACACCACCACCAAACCACCACCACTACCACCACCACCACCACCGCCACCACCACCACCACCACCACCACCACCACCACCACCACCACCACCACCACCCACCACAGCAAACCACACCACAGCAAACCACACCACCACCATCACCACCACCACCACAGCAAACCACACCACCACCACCCCCACAACCACCACCGCCGCCACCGCCACCACCACCATCGTTGTTCTCGTCGACGCTCCCCGCCGCCGCCGCCCGCCGCCGCATTCACTGGCGCTGGCCCAGTAAAGGAAATCGTCGGCCGCGCCGCCGCCGCCAGCCGCCGCCGACGCAAGCGCCGGCCCGAGGAGAGGGGAAGCAGGAGAGGAAGGGGGGGGGCTCCGGGAAGGGGGCCGAAACCCTCCCCCCCCCCCTCCATCCATGGGGGGGGTCCAGTTCCCCCACCCCCCTTCCAAGCGACCACAGAACGCTTTCTCCCTTCCCATCGACCCCTTCCTGGGGATCAGTTTTCCATCCCTCATCGGTTTCTGATGGCCCCAGAGCCCGAGCATTGGCCCCCGACCGAGGCCGCAACAGAGGAAGTCCCCGAGACCAAAACAAATCCACGACGTCGGCGGTCTGGAGGCCCCAGGAGGTCTCCAGAAGTTTCCAAAGCCCTCCTGTAAGCCTCCCGAGAAGGACCTAGAAAGACCCGAGCGTGCCCAAACATCGTGGTCCTCGACCCCCAAACTGAAGCTTGTATATTCACGAACTTCCTGGATCCTCCTAGAACCTTCCGGGTCCGCGAGCCCCCTGGATCTTGGATCCTCAAGCCTCCCCTCAGATCTGACGTCGCCGAAAATTGCAACATTGCACACAAAAGATCATCACCCGAACCCCGGGCCCCATTTTTTTGTGCGACTTTTCGAGCCGGATCGATATGTGAGTTTCCTGGGGCCCGAAACAATGCAAATTCCCCAGTTGCGAAAGAATAGCAACGCCAGGATTTGACGTCCTGGACTCCCCTGGGCCCCCCCTGGATCCTCGATCCTCGAACCTCCTGGATGGCCGGCTTCGCGAGCCTCGCGAGCCTCGTGAGCCTCGAGCTTCGAGCCTCGATGCGGGGCGGCGGGCGCGTCGCGCGGCGCCGGCGAGGTCGACGCCTACGACGCGGCAGGCGACGCCACCATCACGTCTTAGCCGGCTGCGCGCGAGAGTGACCTTTCGCCAGAGTGCAGTTTGGTTCTGGGCCTCCCAGATGGGGCCAAGGTAGGTGGGGTTCGGTACCAAAACGTCCAAAACGTAGGAGCTTCGTGTGTCCTCGTAAATTCACTGGTTGATTGCAGTAGCGTGCCCTAGCGTCTAGCAGTCGATGAGAAAGCTCCGCCTTGCGTCGATTATCGCCGATTCGCAATAGCCAACAAGATGGTACGAGGGGTCCCCATGAGTTGCCGCAGAAAGGTCGGACTAGATGGGGTCGGAGGATCGCGCCGCATCGCTGGTGCATCTACGAAACGTCGTCGATGCATCTTCGATGCATCCGCGATGCGAGGCGATCTTCCGACCTCATCTACTCGGATCCCATCCTGGAGACCGCTACTTTTTTTTTGTGCGGGCGCATTGGAGTCCCGCGTTCGCTGGATTCAGAGGGTAACGAGTTGAGACAACGGCAGTTGGTCTTCGGGGTGGCCCCCTCGCCGCCACGGCTAAACGCAGCTCGGAAAATTTGCGCGCTTGGACACAGGAGGGGTCAGGGGACGGATTTCGAGCTGACGTTGTCTCAATTCTCCATGCTCAGTTGAATGCGGTGCGACTGCAACAGCTTGCGCGTTCAGTTTGCTCCCTGCCACCCCCCTCACAGTCACCTTCCCTGATGCCGCGCACCACCAGATGCAGGTGCATTCGTGTGTGTCGCCGACTCGTATGGCCTTTAGTCAGGCCAAAGTGGCCATCAGAGACGCATTCGGGGTACAAAAAAATCATATTCTCGAAGAAGGGGCCCCAGACATGCGACGTTTTTTTTTTTTCAATACGTGGCCTCCGGACATCCCGACCTTTTCGCCGGGTCCGGCTTTCATCCTGAGCCTTTGTTTGACAGTCTTGGGGCCTGGGAAGGGCCCCAGAGGCCAGTAATGCTGGAAAAACGTGCGTCGTGATTTTGTCACGACGCAAGCATGACTGGGGTCGGAACCTCCCCGGGGGACCGCGCATTGGGAAACAAGAAATCACACCGCCAGGTGCCCAGCGCCGCGCGTCTCGGCGCCCCTCGCCGGCTCGGGCCTGACGGGCGCGAGGATCCTTGAGCGCCTTCGGCCGGCCCTTGGCTGCCTTCGGGCCGCGATCGGGGTGTTCGGAGCGCGTCGCCCCGTGTGTGTGTGTGTTTTCGGTGCTTTCTGTGCTTTCGGTGCCTTGTCGCTGCGGGGCGTCCGCGCCTCGCCGCAGCCGTGGGCGGCGCAGGGCTGTTGAGCTTGCCGCCTGCCGAGCCTCCCTAGGGCTCTCGAGCGGCCGCCTGCAGAGCCGACTCGGGGACACAGCCTGCCTCCACCGAGCTGCCGTGCTGAGGCTGCGCCCTCCCAGCACCCCGAGGCAAGGATCGAAGGCCTTCGGCGGCCTGATCCAGCCCCAGGCCCCACGGGCGGGCCCCTTTAGCCCCAGGCCCCAAAGGGGGGGAACAAACATAACCTTTCACAGCCCCTCAGAAGCGTGACACGACTCCCAACACGGCGCCGACTGCCAACGGCGACGGCGAAAGCAGGCAAGGCTCAGACACAATTGACTGCGAGGCCATCCGCGCAGATGTCCCGCTTGCTGCCCCGACGATCATGAGGCCATCCACGCAGCTGGCACTCTGCTGCTATCTCCATATCTCATCGTAACGATGGTGCCCGCGGAGCTTCCTTCAGAAGCTCTCCTCCAGCTCGTTCAACACCTGCCACTCGGTTGCCGTGAACTCGCGGCGGCCACTGCCACGGGCAGGAGGCGGCGGAGGCGGCGGCGGCGGCGGCGGGCGCGCGTCCTGCGGCTCGAAGGGCCGCTGCATCCCGTCCACGCCGAAGGAGCCGTCGAAGTCGCCGCCGAAGCCGCACTGCGCCCAGGGCACGGCCGGGTACACGTCGTCGCGGACGTACGGCCAGACCTCCCACCAGGCGTAGAAGAGCGTGCGAAGCCGCTGCTTGGTCGCCATGGCCTCTTTGACCGGCTCCGCACTGCGCCGCACGAAGGGCTGAGCCGATCCCCGCCTCAGCGCCCTAGCGGCCGCCATCGCGGTCCAGGCGGCAGGCAAGACGTCGCCCTCCGTCTCGTCGACGTTCTCTCCGATGTCGGCCCTCACAGCTCTGGGAGCGTGCGCCTCGTCCTCGAGGGCGCCATCGCCTCCACCATGCGGGAGATCTGCTCCTCGAACGCGTTCGTCTCCGTGCCGAACGGCCTCCTTCACTAGGGCGGGGTCCGCGAGCACGGAGTCCGTGTCCGTCGACTCGGAAGCCTCCTTCATGCCCTCCTCCTCGTCGTCACCTTCGCCCTGCCCCTCCCCCGTGCTGTCCTGCGCCAGCCAACCCTCGGGCCATCGCGGCGCCTCCTTCCGTAGCTTGGTGGGCGTGGTGGCCGCCACCTGCCGCGGCGCTGTCGGAGGAGTGGGGCTCCCAGCCTGGGGCCCCTCGCAGCCGCCGAGATGGCCAGGCCGCATTTCTGCGACGCCTGGCGCTGCCTGGCCAGCGCGCGCCCGCCGCTGCCAGCCGCAGGGCGGGTCTGGCGGCCCGCTCACGGTCCTGCCACGACCCAGGCAGGGCGGCCTCCGCCACCAGGCTGCGCAGCGCGGCCTCACAGGCTTTCTGACGCCTGCGGCGGGCCGCCCTCCGCGCCGCCGCCGGGACCGGGAGATCTTCTCCTGGGCGCGGCGCATGCCAGGCCGTCACACAGCGGGCAGCCCCCCGAGCCCAACCTTGCTCCCGTCGCACGCCGCCTCCATCGCAGGGGCCGCGACACGGAGGCAGGGGAATGAGAGAGCCGCTTTTTGCACCCGCCGAGATGACGGGGCTTGGGAGAGAGAGAGAGAGAGAGACACACACACACACACACACACACACACACACACACACACACACACACACACACACACACACTTAACAGCAGTTTACACTGCTGAAGTGTTACCGCCCACCCTAATCACAGTATCCCCTCTTGAACTCCATCTCACTGTTGAGTTTAACTTGTGTTCCATAGCATTCAGTACAGCACAGTGCATGCTGATGGTGTGTCTGCTCTGTTTGATGTTTTGCTTGAGAACGATAGTCGAGCTCAGCGCCAGACCCTTCTTCCTTGGAGTCTCTCTTTCCGTCGCTGGCTTCTGCTTCTGGTTCAAGAGATTTGTAGGCGCCTAAGCTGTGAGGGCACCGGTGGAAACACCATCCTAGGCCCTTCCCAAGGGGGCCAGGGAGCCTACTGTCGGAGCCGCGGGCGATAGCAGCAATAGCAGGAGCAGCGAGGACGACAATACCAGTAACTCGTAGCAGCAGCAAGCAGGGAGAGAGAGCAACAGAGAGTGCACCTGGCATTCGACGTGCGCCCGGTGGCGCCACTGCCTTGCGGAAGCGGCCGTGCGAGGCTAGCTTGGAGAAACCGTTTGCTTGAGCACTGCTACCCGCGGTACCCGACCGGAGAAAAGAGTAGAAGTCAGAACAGGAAGGAAAAGGACGAGTCGACCGAACTTTTCGTCTAATTCGAATCGTACGTTCGAGGAGGACAAGGAGGGGGCACACGTTTTCTTCAGAAGATTGGTCATTCTACTATCCTTCACAGTAAGAACAGTATCAAACACACTACTGGGCTTGATTCCATCCCCGGGTGGCGGTTCAGGAAGAACACACACACACACACGTATCTATCACGTTTTCACGTTCAATTTGTTTGACTCCAAGTTCCTTACTACTCTACTAGGCATTCAGCAAGAGAGAAGCAGATGGTACGATCGAGAGATGTTGAACCAGAAGGTTGGGCCATTGACTGACATGCAGATGATCCGTGGCGTCGCGTGATGCTGCGGATTCGTTTTACCCGCGAACGGCCAACCAGCAGAAAGTGGCGAATATCTGGCCGCGCGGATGTGCGGATGGTGCCAGGATGGACACCCTGAGGACGCGCAGCTCAACTTCCGCATTGTGCGCATGTGTTTCGGAGCACTAATTGAAGGGTTATTCAAAAGATGCTTGAAAACATGTCGGGGGTCATCATGTAGATGGATCCTGTGTATGTCGTTCTGTATTTCGCTCACGTTGTACGACTTGGTGCACCAACAAGAACGTAGAGTGTTTCTCCGCACGGTCATGCGTGGACTCACACCGACAATACAGCACATATTACTGCATCGTCATCTATCGCACCCTGCATGGCATAAGTATATTCAATACCAATTCGAAGCAATATGGCATAATAACAACATACCTTGTGAAACAGCTGTGTATATCACGTGGATGTCGCACGATGGGTCGTCTTGGTATGTCGGAAAAGCAAACACCACACGGCACCATAAAGATGGTAGGACCGAGTCAGGCATACTCCAGCGCTACAGGGAGCACATGACAGGTTTCATGGTACAAGGCGCACGTAGTGTTTATCGACGGTATGTGTTGTGGGCCCGTTTTCACCCTTACGAGTACAGATACTTGGTAGGGGTATGGGACAGTGAGCATCGAACTTTACAGTACGAGCATGCAGTCATTACGTACCTCGCCGCCCCTACCCAACAGCGGCACCACCTCTGCGTAGACAACCGAGTTGAGCGTTTTCGACCGTTTCCTCGATTCCGTCAGCGGCCAACCGTAGCTAGGGAAGCTCAGTTGAACGTTGCGAACTACATCCAACATAAATATGCTGGGCACCACGCCCAGACAAAAAACAAGTCTTCAGGAATGTGTGAACACCGATTACAAATACGACGATTTCAAGCAACTGCTAACACGGAATCGTACATGTTTTTCCGTTGGGCATGCAGAAACTATCAGGCTAATGTACAGCAGCGTGTTCTACATGTGGTTGGCACTGTATCTAAGCGACCCGAGGAACCGGCTCTGCTACCGTAGCGTGTGGGACAACGTAAACCCAATCAAGTTGATGATTAAGACTTACGTCTATTCTCAAAGGATGAGTCTCGTCAAAGCGGCAAGAGTACAAAGGAAGGTCTTGATATTTCTGAATAGCAGTGGGATTTTTCGCACACGCAGGTTCACCATCCGAGTGGCCACTTCTTCAAAGTATCTGATGGCACAGATCACGAAGGTGGTTCGGAAACTATGCCGTTTAATCGGAGAGGTGCATTTCACTGAGTTGGGCATCTTCTTCGCGAGCCGCATGCGGGTTGTGCAGACTGCACCACCCACTGTTGCGCAGTCCCTGCCCAGCCATATTCAGGCTGCCAGATTTTTCAGCGTTGCGGAGCTTGCTGATGTCACTGAAGACGAATTCATACGAGCTTACCTGAGGCATGACGTGCAAAAGTACCCTCATTTCTGGAACGTGCCTACTTCGGAATACCGGCAGGACATGAAGACGGATGTGCTCGAGCAATTGCGGGAGATGCTTGTGTCATGCAATTTGTCAGATTTCAGTGGCATTCTTCATACGCACTTTGATGGTCTTGATTGGCATGGCGACAACATCTGCGATTTAAGTTGTTTGTTTCCAGTGTGTTGCCAGGACCAGGTTGCAGTCGTCATGGATAAGAACGTTCGCATGAAGGCTTTCGTTAATCGACGTGCTTACCTCATACGTCTCACCTTGGGCTACACTGACCCGAAGCATTATCGAGTGACCAACGAAAGTGCGGAGCAGTTTCTCGAGCGCGAGTCGGAGCTGTACTCTCGATATATCCCGCAGGCTTGGAAGGGAAAACATGTTGAGTATTCCAAGCAACAGTTGCAATACAGCTACCACAACTACAAAGACAAGTGTCATGGTCTAGCCGGCGGGCTGGAATGCAATAGAGGTCATTCCCATGATCGTGAGATCATCAGCGACCAGCACAATCCACATAAGAGGTATTTGCGCTTAGTTGCTCGTTCCATTCGTCTGATTAAACGCTTATCCAACGAAACGACATGGACTGTTTGGAAACAGCTACAGGTCCAGCAACATGTTCGCGATGGCGTGGCCAAACTCCGGATTGTAGAACAATTCCGGCATCGGTGCCCGTGCGGCGCATCAAAAGACAGGGCGTTCCAAATGACGAAACTCGATGCTGCCCAATTCTTCAAGGCCGCGTCGGTGGAACGGGGTATCTCCAGAGTTAAAGCCATGTTGCAGAGAGTAGAGCAGCGATCTGGCATGAACGCATTACGTGTGAAACAAACTACACGGATGGACGGAACTTTGGTCAGAATTGATAGAGAAACGAATCATGTTCGGCATGGCGCGCACGTACCATACCACGCACTCCGTTTTCAGGATATATATGACACATTGGATTACGCTCTACATGACGATCGATTTTTGTTGGGCGTCGACACAGTTATCAAGCGAAAGGGAGGTTGGCCAATGGGCGCGTCCCTGAGCGAGCCTTGCACGATGATCGACCTCGGCCAGAGCATACTAGACTGCCGCACGAGCTGTCAACATATGCACTCTTGTGGATGGCAGTGCCCTGGGCACCAGTTGGCACTTGACCATATAGTGTGTGGAGCTTTGCATGTAGATGACCTAGGCGTCTTTAGCTACATCTTCTGCGCACGGTGCTTGAACGAACGTGTCCAGAGCATGGTCCCAGCAGACGTGGGGTTCGCACAGGAGGAGGAAGGACCTATCATGCGCGTTTTGCAAGCTGTCGTCGCCATTCACCCCGATTCGTCCCTCTCCTTCTACCCGGTTCACCCTAACATCTGGTTCAGTTTACGGATTAGTGATCGGCAGAAGGTGTTGCGTTTAGGAGTGTTTTACCATCCCAGTATCCAGTCTTACGATCAACTTCGAAATTTCTTAATCACGCAGATCGTCACGTATGACCAGATCATCCTCGGAAAAGCCATGGGCATGTTTTATTTTGTATTCGGGTTAGTTTCGGAAGTCCTGGAACTCAAGTGGCCGGTGCATTGGATCCAGAAGGCGCTGCGGAGTATACCGAGACAATTTCGTTCCCCATTCGTGAATGCAGTGAGGAATTTTGCAAGAGTCCTCCGACGCGGCAGTATGGATGACATTTTGGCTCTAGCAGTTTCCAGGGAACCCGAAAACATAGAGAAGTATCATGCAGTTTTCTCCGTGATGGGCGGATGCGAGAAAGGACAGAAAAGCATGTGGTACAACGCCTACCACCAGAACCAGCAACAGCAGCAGAAAGAAAAAGGAGGACGTGGAAAAGGAACCGGAAATGCCACGAATCAGAGCTGGATCATGCGTGCACTCCGGTCTGCGCAAGCTGAGAATGCGGAGTACCGAAGGCAGCAAGAAGTCAAAGATCAGCAGGCGGTATTGCGGAACTGCGTCAGCGAGGGCGTGATGCAGGCCTTCGGCATGCCACCTCCAACCCTGGCGCCCACCCCAGCGCCGGTCCAGCAAGCACCGACGATGATGCCCGGCGCCGGATCTTCCAGTTCAGGTGCAGCAAGTATGCTTCCGTTCATGTCCGGCTTCATGCAGATGGCACAGGGAGGTAATGCGCAACACCACGGCGCCGGAGCTCCAGGGCAGCAACCAGCACATGATGGGCGCAAGCACGATAAGCGCCGGCATCGGTCACGCTCGAGATCGAAAAAGAACAACAAGAAAAGCAGGAAGCGACGCAGATCTACCAGCTCCAGCTCGAGTTCGTCATCCTCCACTTCAGGTTCAGAAGTTCAGACTCCAGTCCGGATCGAAAACAGGCGCGCTGCCCAGAAGCCATGGGACTGATGTTCGAGCAGTGGCGGAATTTCATGATGCAGCGGGCCAGCGTCGCACCCGAGCGTGAAGCAGAGGGCTCGGAGAAGACAGATAAGAAGAAAGAAGATAAGAAGGATAAGACGAAGGACAAGAAGGATAAGGAGAAGGACAAGAAGGATAAGGAGAAGGACAAGAAGGATAAGGAGAAGGACAAGAAAGACAAGACATATAAGAAAGGCAGCAGGCAGGAGCCCGCCCCCGCAGCAGCGGCCCCGAAGGGCCGCATGCTGGTCGCCCCGGATCTTAGTTCAGCCCCGGGGGAAGCCGAAACCGAAGCGATGAAGAAAGTTCTGTTGGCTTGCAGTCTTGACAACGACGTGAGCGAGTTCGAGAATGTCGCAGCGCTCACGGCACACGTGGTCAGCAGCATGTCCGTGTCTCAACTCGACAAGGTGCTGGAAGCGAACGGCTTCACAGGTAGCAAACCTAACACCAAGGAGAAGAAGGTGAATGCTTTGATTGACCATGCGCGCGGAACGTAATGAGCACAGCGCGCGCAGTGAGCGTAGACCCAGCGCCGGGAGATCGGGCCATGAGCATGCTCGCTTGTCCTTTCGTCTCATTCCCCATCCATGTCACTAGCATGAACGTTCTCGATTACATATTCTTCCCTGTATTGGCAATCTTGGCATTGTGTGCCGACGCAGTGTGCCTGCTTCTGAAATGCATCTGCTGTCCGAGACAGGTTGCCATGACCGTTGCCGTAGTCATCACAGGCTGTGGAGCGATTGTTTTAGCGTGTTTCGGACTTGCCTCTACATATCGATGGGTCACACACTTAACAGCAGTTTACACTGCTGAAGTGTTACCGCCCACCCTAATCACAGTATCCCCTCTTGAACTCCATCTCACTGTTGAGTTTAACTTGTGTTCCATAGCATTCAGTACAGCACAGTGCATGCTGATGGTGTGTCTGCTCTGTTTGATGTTTTGCTTGAGAACGATAGTCGAGCTCAGCGCCAGACCCTTCTTCCTTGGAGTTTCTCTTTCCGTCGCTGGCTTCTGCTTCTGGTTCAAGAGATTTGTAGGCGCCTAAGCTGTGAGGGCACCGGTGGAAACACCATCCTAGGCCCTTCCCAAGGGGGCCAGGGAGCCTACTGTCGGAGCCGCGGGCGATAGCAGCAATAGCAGGAGCAGCGAGGACGACAATACCAGTAACTCGTAGCAGCAGCAAGCAGGGAGAGAGAGCAACAGAGAGTGCACCTGGCATTCGACGTGCGCCCGGTGGCGCCACTGCCTTGCGGAAGCGGCCGTGCGAGGCTAGCTTGGAGAAACCGTTTGCTTGAGCACTGCTACCCGCGGTACCCGACCGGAGAAAAGAGTAGAAGTCAGAACAGGAAGGAAAAGGACGAGTCGACCGAGCTTTTCGTCGAATTCGAATCGTACGTTCGAGGAGGACAAGGAGGGGGCACACGTTTTCTTCAGAAGATTGGTCATTCTACTATCCTTCACAGTAAGAACAGTATCAAACACACACACACACACACACACACACACACACACACACACACGCCTGGCGCCAAAGGCAGGCTTGAGCCAAAATAGCTACGTGTGTGTGTGTGTGTGTGTGTGTGTGTGTGTGTGTGTGTGTGTGTGTGTGTGTGTGTGTGTGTGTGTGTGTGTGTGTGTGTGTGTGTGTGTGTGTGTGTGTGTGTGTGTGTGTGTGTGTGTGTGTGTGTGTGTGAATGTGTGTGTGTGTGTGTGAATGTGTGTGTGTGTGTGCGCGTGCGCGCGCGCGCGTGCGTGCGTGCGTGCGTGTTGTGTGTGTGTGTGTGTTGTGTGTGTGCCACGCTGGACACCCGCACCCTCTGGGATTCGCCCACCTCGGACTACAGGAAGCAGGGCCAGGGGCGGGCGCGGCCTCAGGATGTCCCGGAACGCGTCCTGCACGATTTCCTCAACTCCGAGGGAGCCCTGGCGGCCAGGGCCAGGAGGACACAGCAAGCAGGCGAACCCATCGCGGCCTGGAGCAGATATTGCGCTCAGCGCGGCGGCGGCACCCGCGACCCCAGCAGGCACGACGCAGCCTTCCTCCGCCGCTTCCTCCGCCAACAGGCCTCGCCGCCCCTCTGACTTCCCCCTCCCACGCACGGCGGCGCCACGCGCTGCCGCCGCTCCCACAGGCCTGCACCATCGGTGGGTGCCCCCCCGCGGCCCCTGCCCAGTCGACGGGCTCGCCTCCCCTCGGCTTTCCGGCCGTGCTCTGGCGTCTCGGGGCCCCGGCTGGTCTTGCCGCCTATAGCCTTCCGCCCTGCCTCCCCGCCTTGCCTGGCTTTCAGGCCCCGCACCCTCCTACGGGTGTGACAGCACTGCCCTTCTGCTGCCTCGCCGGCTGTATCCTCAGCCGTGCTCGCTCGCTCCGCCCGTCGCCGCTGGCCACGACGCCTCCCTCGTGAAGTTCGTCGGTTCGTTTCGCGCACCTCCCAGTACCAGCTTGCCTGGCCTGCTCGCTACCCTACGCCTCGGACTCCGCCCCGCTGCTGTCCCCGGCTCCCCTGCCCGCTGTCGGTCCGCCGCTGCTGGTCCCCCCCCCGGCGCCGCCTGCCTGCCACGCCTGCCCGCCACGGGCCTACCCCTGCTCTGAACGGGCCCGGCTTCTCCCTCCCCCATGCCTCCGCCTGGCGCCTCCTCCCTCCTCCTCCTCTTCCTCCTGCACGGTGGCTTAGTTCGCGCGTCGTGAAATCACCAACGCCCTGTTGCCAGCGCAGTAACTCTGCCGAGCCGCCGACGCAAGACGTATGTGCGTATGTGTATGCCCGGGGTCGTGTCGCGAGTGGCGGCCGGAGGCCCGAGCTGCGGCAAGGACATCATTGGAGTCGAACGACAGGGAGGAGGACAGACTGAGGAGGAAAAGGTGCCCCTACCTGTACATTTCCATCGTTGTTTAATTATTGGGTTTCCTGGGCGGCCCTCGTCGCCACCTCTGTCTGTACTCGCTGCGAAATCCGGGTCAGACCGCACCTTGGGAAAGGTCCGTGGAACAACGGTATCGGTACCTTTTGGCTTCCTCGCGCATGAGAGGGGAATAGGGAAAGAGGAAGGCGGAAGGTGGAGTGGTAAGGCTCGGGGTTACGCACACACAGCCCTCCAGGTATTGCCGGCTGGCCTCAACAGATCCCACGAGTAGCCTGGGGCCGTCTCAACACCTTCGGGCCTGTTGTGGCCAGCTGGGACGACTTGGGGGGGTTGTATTTCAGGCCAGCTGGGACTACCTGGCGGGACCGTCCGTGCGCAACCCGAAGCTTTCAGTTACCATAGAGGAAGGGGCCTTTGGTCTTGCCGTTCGGGCACGGTTTGGAGTCCATGTCTTGCACTCATACACGGAGTGTCTCCATTGGGAAAGGTTGATCCTAGATTTTGGAGTGGGTGGCAATCTCTCGACCACCCAGGAAGCCCGAGTGTTGCCACCATCACCGACAACGGCATCGTGCCCCCTCGTTGGACGCAACGGCTGATATTGGTGTTGGTACAAATCTCTGAGCATTCCACCTTTCATTTCTGGTCCGTGCCCTGCTGGCGGTCGCGATCTTTGCCTCCAGTCCCGCGTGTGGGGGAACCAAGTTTTTTAGCAGATCCTTCAGCAGAAATGATTTCTCAATCAAGGCGCGGACGTGGTTTTTCTTCTCACGTTCAACGCTTTGGCGGCGCGGTCATCCACTACCATCTCGAATAATTGGTATGGTGCTGTTCTGCATGACCTCTTCGGGCATCTTTTTCCACTTGGCCTCTGCCTTCGCGGTCTTGTCCAGTCGTGCTTGCTTTTTCGCCGCCGCCGGTGCCACAATTTTCTCATACACACCATGGACACCTAAGGGGCAAGGAGCTCTGGCTGGAGGCGAGCTCCCCATCTTGGCGGCCCTCGACGACCCCCCTTTTACCTCGAGGGAGGGAGGAGGGAACTGACTTGAGGGAGGCAGGAGGAGAAAGAGGAGGAGGGGAGGAGGAAGACGAGGAGGCCCCCTTCGTCTTTAATCATATCCTCATTGCTCCTGCTGCTTCTCCGCCTATTACCCACTGTTGGGCATGTCGCAGCTCAGGGCACATCGACCGGGCTCATCGACCTTCATTTTCCGAGCCGACCAGAGCCAAGGAGGGGACCATCCTCACCCTCTCAGGTCCTCTCCCCTCTCCTGCCCTGAGTTAAGGGCGGGGTGGTCGTCGAGTGTATGCCCTGGCTGGGGGCTTACTTGCCCCTGGTCTCCTCCTGGTCTCGTCTCCTCGAGTCTCGCCCGCGACAGTGTCTCACATGTGGGAGAGGAGGAGGAGGAGGAGGAGGAGGAGGAGGAAGGAATGGAGAGCAAGGATGAAGAGGGGAGGCGGAGGAGGAGGAGGAGGAGGAGATGGAGGAGGGGGAGGAGGAGGAGGAGGGGGAGATGGAGGGGGAGGGGGAGATGGAGGTGGAGGAGGAGGAGAAGGAGGAGAAGGAGGATAAGAGGAGGAGGAGGACATGAGGAGGCGGTGGAGGCGGAGGAGGTGGGGGGAATGAGTACGTAGGGGAGGGGAGGGCAGAGAGGACGGAGGAGGAGCAGCTGAAATAGGGAGGAGAGTTCAGAGGGAGGGGTGTGAGGAGAAGGGCGAGGGGGAGGAGGAGGAGGGGGCGTAGGCTGTAGAAGAAGGGGAAGATGAGGAGGAGGAGGAGGAGGAGGAGGAGGAGAAGAAGAAGGAGAAGATGATGAGGGGGAGGGGAATTAGGTGGGAGAGGCAGTGGAGGACGACAGTGTGGAGGAGGGCGAGCTTGCGGAGGAGCAGGCGGACGACGCTTTCGACGTCGACGTCCTAAGCGACGACGACGACGTCAACGACGAGGGCGACCACGTCGAGGGCGACCACGTCGAGGGGGTCGACGACGTTCTCGCCCGGCCGTCTCCCTCGAGGCCCTCGAAGGTCCCCGGAGGCCTTGAGTAGCTTAGGGAGGGCCGAACGCGACGAAAAACGTTGATCGTCGATCCTCGATCCCTCGATCCCTCGAGCCTCGATGACGACCCATCACGATGGCAGCGACGACTTCGGCGGCGAAGAGGATGGTGACGACGACGGCAGCGGCGACCGCGACGACGACAATGGCGAACTCGATCTTCGAGCTCCAGCGGCAACGGCCACATTGACGACCACCACCAGGGCGGCGGCGGCGACGGCGACGACGGCAGCTGCGGCGGTGATCCGCCTCCCCGCCGCCGCGCACGCGTGGGGGAGGGGGCTCGGGGGGGGGGGGAGCTCAGGAGGAGGACGACTTAAGAGGGTGGGGCGAGGGACAAGGTGGGGGAAAGGACAACGAGGTGGAGGGGGGGAGTGGAGGAAGAGGGGGGGGAGGAGGAGGAGGAGGAGGAGGAGGAGGAGGAGGAGGAGGAGGAGGAGGAGGAGGAGGAGGAGGAGTAGGATGAGGAAGAAGAAGGGGGTGAGCAAGATGAGCAGGAGGCGGAGGAGGAGGAGGAAGAGGAGGAGGAGCAGTGCAAACCCAAAACTCATCAACGATGTTGAAATACACCCTCCCTCCAAGATCCCTCGTCACAAGCCCCTACGAGGAGGCATTTCCACTGAGAGAATTGCCCCGTTGGAGGATAAGGGTCTGAACATCTTGAAGCGCACCAACATGCCATTCTCAGGATTTCGACGCCACGATTGACCTGACGGCTACGTCTTGGCGGTCTTGCATCATGCCAGAACACCGGTTCTGGGATTTCAACACCGAGAATCAACGTTTTTGTTGCGCCTTGACAATCTTGAATCGCTCCAAGACGTAGTTTCTGATATATCTACATGTATATCTACAAATATGTATGTATATATATATATATGCACATGGCCATGAGAAGCCACGGAACTCTTCAAATGTATTAAAAAAAAAAAAAAACGAATGTGCGCGGCGCTGAGGCGAGAACCACGTTTTGACAAGGGATTGCCCTCAATCCGCGAAGCTCGTGCAGATGTTGAAAACACATGGGCGCGACGCAAACTCGAGAGCCACATGTTGAAACCGACCTGCCCTCAATCCGTGAAACTCTTGCCAAGGTTCAAAAGGCATGTGCGATGCGCTAAGGCGAGAGCCGCATGTTGACCACGACCCGCCCTTAATCCGTGAAGCCTTTGCATCGCGCTAAGGCGCGAGCCACATTTTGAAAACGAACCGCCCTCAATCAGTGGAACGCTTCCACATGTTTGAGCAGAGTGTGCGCGGCGCGAAGGCGAGAGCCACATTTTGAACATCACCCGCCCTCAATCCTGGAAGCTCCCGCCGATCTTGAACACGAATGTTCGCGGCGCTACGGCGAGAGCCACATTTTGAGAACCACCAGCCCTCAATCCGTGAAACGCTTCCAAATTTGAGCAAGAGTGTGCGCGGCGCTACGGCGATAGCCACAATTTGAAGACGGAACCGCCGTCAGTCCGTGAAGTCCGTGCAACAGTTTAAATCGAACATGCGCAACGCAAATGCGAGAGCCACATTTTGATAACGGCCCGCCCTCAATCCGTGAAACGTTTCCACATGTCTAAAATGAATGAGCGTGGCGCTAAAGCGAGAACCACTCTTTAACAGCTACCCGCCCTCCATCTGTGAACGTGTTGTGAAGTTTTAAGCATCAGGGTCATACGTGATGAGAAAGTCTCAGGCGAAACGCCCAGGCCTCCCTTTCGACCGTCCTCGGGGAAGACAGGGAGGAGTTACCTATAGGGAAATGGAATGGAAGGAGAAGACCAGGATGAGAGGAATGGAATGGAATGGAATGGGAGGAGTTACCTATAGTAGAGCAGGAGGAGAAGGAGGAGGAGGACGACCAGGATGATGATGATGATGCTGATCATGATGATGAGGATGATGATGAGGATGAGGATGAGGATGAGGATGATGATGATGATGATGATGATGATGATGATGATGATGATGATGATGCTGATGATGATGATGATGATGATGATGAGGATGGTGATGATTGTGATGATGCTGATGCTGATGCTGATATGCTGATGATGACGATGACGATGCTGACGATGCTGATGATGATGCTGCTGATGATGGTGATGATGATGCTGCTGCTGATGATGATGATGATGAGGAGGAGGAGGAGGAGGAGGAGGAGGAGGGGGAGGGTGGAGGAGGAAGGATGGAGGAGGAGACGGATGAGGGGAGGAGGAGGAGGAGCATAATGAGGAGGAGCAAGAGGAAGAGCAGCAGGAGGAGGAGGAGGAGGAGGAGGAGGAGGAGGAGGAGGAGGAGGAGCAGGAGAAGGAGGAGAAGGAGGAGAAGGAGGAGGAGGAGGAGGAGGGCCCGACGCCATCGCTGGGGCGTCGGGTAGTGGTGTGGCCTCGACCCTGGCCAAGCCAGGGCAGGCGCGACAGGCACCCCCTGAGGGTAGAATGAGGAGGAGCAGCAGCAGCAGCAGCAGCAGGAGAAGTAAGAGGGGGGGAAAGAGGAGGCGGAGGAGGAGGAGGAAGAGGAGGAGAAGGAGGAGGAGGGGGGCCCAGATCCTCAGGGCGACGACAGCGGCGGCGGCCGCGGTGGCGGCGGCGGCGACGACGACGACGACGGCGACGGCGACGATGGCGGAAGCCCGCCGTGCGAGCCCAGGCGCTGTGCCGCTGGAGCTGTGGGGCGGGGGCGGCGCGCTGTGCAGGGCGCTGGCCGCCGGCCTGCTGAACAGGCCGGGGGGGGCGTTCGCGCAGCGGCAGCGGGAGGGGGGATACGTAGGCTCACGGGGAAGGCATCGACCCCCAATCGCCCATTGATCGTCGAGAGGGGCTTGATAGCCCCACCCACCCCATGGACGTCCCGAATCGCCATTTGCGATGTATCGCCGATCCCAGGTCGATGTTTCCCCTCCTGAGCAAGCCCCCCTTCTATTTGCCCCTCATTCGCAGCAGCGCAGCACCACGAGCGCGTGGAGATGGCTCAATTTGCGTATCTTTCGAGGCGTCAGGGGGGACGACAGGTCCGAGGTTCAAGGTTTTTTTTTTGGGGGGGTGATATCGTCGGTGCTTGGCGGTTTTGCAGCTTCGGAATGTTCTGCAGCAGCTGTACCTCGCTGCGGGCATCCCGGGGGGTGCCCAGATCGTTCCGAACGGCCGCCGGGGACCCGAGTTGCGACCCGAAAGCCAGAAGGCAACGTTAGGGGGGATAGGGTCAGGAACTTTGGCTTAACGTGTCGCGCTGCCGACTGCGGTCCACCACGAATCGGCGCGACACGCTGACTACGCCCCGGTCCCCGAGGTTCGACGTCCAGAGTTTTGTCCAGCCTCCCCTTCCGCGTAGCGGAACGAGACTCCATCCGCTTGCAGAGCATCGCGTGTCGTTGGGGCCGCCGCCGCGACATGCTAATCAACAGTTCTTGACCGTCTCACTGGGAAGATTGACTTCCTGCAAACTCTTGATGGCCTCTGCTCCTTTGTGGAGGTCCTCGAGCACAGTGGTGGGTCAAACAAGCTTCAGGTGATGCATTCTGTATCGCCCATCCAGTGGCTGCGATCCTCGCCGTCCACCTCCCCGTTAGCGCGGGGCGTCCCCCTGCTCCTTCTCCACTCAGGTTCCTTAACCTCCCTGTTCTTTCATGTCCCCTTCCCCTCATTCATGTCCTTTCCTCATGCATATCCTCCTTCATTCCGATGGATATGATCAGAGCTGACTCACGGCTAGCAGCCAGCACCCAGGAACAGCGTAGACGAACCGGCTTGCAGATTGCGCTTCAGCTTCCCGGGCACAACCCCATCCTGGCAGCTTTCGCTTGTGATTTGTTCGTGGGCGAAAATCCTCCCTCTGTTCCTCCTCTTCCTGTTGCGGCTCTCTCGTGAGTGCCTAGTTTGGTGTGGTCTTGGTCGGTTGCCAGCCGCAGCCCCTCGCGATAATGCTCGCGGGGTTCCACCTGCCAGCCCGCTCGCCGTGCTCTCTTTTTCTGGCAGGCCATCCCGGCCGACTGCCGAGCCAATGCCTGGGAGGTGGCCCTCCCTCGAAAAAGAAAAAGGTGAAAACACTGCACAGACTTCTGCAGCTCCGTGCGTGCGATTTGTTTGGATCGGCGCGCAGCGCCTCCAGCGCCGACCCTGGCCTTCTCCGCGGCCAGGGGGGGGGGTCCAGCGCAGATCCAAGATATCCGCGCGGACCTCCGACAGCTTATGTTTATGCAATTTGTTGTTCCTCTACGCAAGGTCTTGTTGGCCAAGTGCGGAGGCGGTTTGGTCCTGGCGGGTCGCCCTCCAGAGTTCCCCAGGCGGGGGCGGTTTGGTCGAAGGCTCTACCCCCTCCTGCTACCACCGCGGGCAGCTTGGGCCTCCCCCCAGCCAGCAGTCAGCGTCATTGATGGTTCAAAGGTTTGAAACATCATCTGGTGCTGCTGCGCCTTGCCTGGAGTCGCCCAGGCCCCCATGCCCACGAAACGTGATCATCGATCTCCGCCAGGCGTGGTAATTGTCCCGCCATGCCGCCGCACCCGCCTGCGCCCGCGTATGACGCCTGCAGGCGTGACTTATGGCCATCCCTCCAAGAAAATGGCACCCTTGCGGCAAAATGCCCCAAGCAGCTTTACACAGCAACGATGCGGGGCCGCGATGTGCCACCATTTTGGGCCCGGTTCCCTCACCAGGCGTTCGAATAATGTTACACGACACTTGAAGGCAAGCTGGTAAGGGTAAGAAGTCAAGACACTGAAATGTGAACCGCTGCAGGCTCACGAGGGGCTCTGGTTTTCGGGCCGTTCCCCTTAGATCCAGGTCGAGGAACTTTTTCGAAGCCGAGGCTCGCCGTGGCAACAGAGGCACCTTCGTTCCTTGTTCAGGGTTCCTCATGCTAGCCCGATGTGTGTACCTCCAATTCTTGATCTTCGATCTCCTGCAGGCGTGCAGATTGTCACGCCAAGGTCGCGACACGCCAGCTCACGCCCGCGTGACGCCCGCGCAGGCGTGCCCTGTGGCCCGCCCTGCTTGCCGATCGCCACCCCCCATGCTTCCCCCGCCCTGTTTCTCCCGATCTCGGGGGCCACGGCCTTCTCACCGGGCGTGAGAAGCAGTTCTTGCTGCCGTCCATTTCGTTCGCGTCAGAAGGGCTATGTGCTGGAGCGCTGGTCATGGCGAACACGGGGTCACATAGTTCCGTTGGGTCACGGGGCCAGCACGGGAACAAAACCAGTCCAGTTGGGTTCCCGAGGGTTGCCCCTGAGGGCTCCTGAGAGGGGTCACACAACGTGTGTGACCGCCGCAAGTTGGCAACGCTGCAAAATGGGCGCGACCAGATGGAACCCTTCCAGACATGCCGTGCAAGGGAAAATCGATCCTCGATCCCTCTTCGCCCCCTCCGCGGCGAGCTCCACAGCGGGCGCAGAAAGTTTGGAATCAGTCTGCCAGCTGGTGTAAGCACGGAACTTTCCTATCCCCCGAGGGCCCGGGGGATTTGCACAGCCCTTGGGGCAGCTCGGGGAGCCCGACGATCGACGGCAGCTGAGCCCCTGGAATTCGTACTGCAATACTCGAGGCCTCCCAGATGGGGTTTGAGCAAATGGGGTCGGAGGACCATGCCGCTTCGCCGATGCATCGCCAGTGCGGCTCGATTTGGAGCCCGCTTTTCTTCACGCCGACTGCGCCGATGCATCGACGATGCGGCGCAACAAGAAAAAACTGCGAGGCCTCTACCTGGGGTGCCGACGATCGACGGCAACCTGGCTCTTGGATTTTATCACATGGGTCTGATGCAGGCCCGCTTGCGTAGAGATGCGGTTCTACTGCGCTGGGGGAGCAGGCCCCTGGAAGAGCAGCACGCACCACGCACCGCGGCGTGGCCGACGCCCACGGCGGAGAAAAGACGCGCTCTACGATCCGCACCGAACCACAGATTCGGGGACCAGCTTTATCGTCTCGACCTGCTTGGATATCGATTTTAGCAGGCACGCGCAACAAGGAACAGGCACGTGCGACAAGACATCTTGCTACAAGAAGTCCAGGGGGTCATCCTGCGTCGCCCCTGAGCCTCGTAAGGTCGTAAGGTGCCCCAGGGCTCATGCGGGCAACCGTGAGCAGGCCAACTCCACATTTTTGTGTGCTCATTGTACGTCCAGCTCGGTCCGATTCGATTCCAGCTTCGCATGCAATTCGGCCTGATGCATGCGCGGTGCCGGTGTGCCTTCTGGCGTGACCAGTGCGATACGACTCCGGCTCCGCGCAGACTCGGCTCGATCCGACGGACATTCTGATTCGACCCGATTTCCCAATGTGACACTGATCGATTCGGGCGGGGCAAGGACTGGGATACATCGTTTCAGAGCGTTCCCGAACCCTCACCGCATGTTCCAGGGCGCGGGTTGGAGCGGCCGCGGCGCCCGATGCATCTTCAGAGATCCCCGATTTTGTTCCGGTCGTGGTTTCTGCCCAGCGTCGACGTCGGCCCCCCGGCTCGCCTCGACAGGCCCCCCGAGTAGCCCGTGGCGGTCTCAACACCCCAACCTTAAGGCGCGGAGCGCGGGGCTACGAGGGGCGGCGGCGCCAGGGTGTCGAGGCCGCCTCAGACTACAAAGGAGGGACCTCCTGGGGGGGGCTGCCTGTGCTGAACCCGAAGCTTTGCCACGACTGATCCTGGGATTCGGGAAAGGCGCGCCGGCATTGTGGCGACGAACTTCCTGCCCAGCGTCGACGTCGGCCCGCCGCTGGCCGCCTACCGCTCAGCTCTCGGCGGCGGCGCCAGCCTGGGGTTTTCGGTGCAGGCGCGCATCGCCTGCGCGGCCGCCGCCGTCGTCGTCTTCGCCGTCGTTGTTCCAAGGTGGGGACTTCTTTATCACCATCGCCTGGGGGCTCGATCTTCTTGGGCCCTGGGGTGCCACATAAACCCGTATCCACCGACTGCCGAGGTTCCCGAAGGAAGATCCCTGCGGTGGTGATGGGTAAATCCCTGCCTCGCAGATGTCGCCGTCGTCGTTTGAGGATGGAGAAGCGGTGTAAGCATACACTTTCGGCGATCCGCGCGGATTCCTTGGATCGGCGCTGGACCCGCCCTCCCTGGAGGGACGGCGTCTCGGAGGCGCCGTCGATGTCGCCGTCGTCGTTCGCAGGAGGAGCAGGAGGAGGAGGAGGAGGAGGAGGAGGAGGAACTGTATGAGCGTAAATTCAAGTGAACGCCCCCGAGGGGGCAGACACCGCCGCCCCACTGCTCTTGGAGTCGAGGAGGGCTCCGGCGGCCGCATTGCGGCATGGTTTAGCCTTGGTTTAGCCCAAAGACGGCGCCAGGAGGGCCCGAGAGGGTCCCAAAAAGGGACCAGAATGGGGCGAGTGCGGCGGAGTGGAGCGATCGAGGGAAACGCGCAGAGGCAAGGATAGGTCTGACAAGTTCTTTTATGAGAGACCTCACGAGAAACGGTCACGAGAAAAAGAGTGATTGCAGATCATGCGGTGGTGGTCTGACACGCCGTACCCGGTAGGGCGGCGGATGGCTTGCAAGTCGCTGTCGTCGTGCGCATGGGGACGAGAAACAGCATGAACATACATTGAGTTCGCAGGGCGGGAGTCACGGCGGGCCCCCAGGGTGTAGCCTGAATTCAGATTTGCAACCAGTAGGTGTTAGGAATGCTGCCTCGACGAGGGTCGGTACCAATCGTTGCAATGTTTCGTAAGTGCGTAGTTTCGCCCTTTGGGGATTAGCAGTCTTGGAGGCCAGGTAAGGGTCTTTTGGGGTCCATTGGACGTACGGGAGGTGCGGTCCGAATTGAGGCTCCAAGGAGCCGTCTCTGGGGCCAGTTGAGCGCCCAACATTCGCGAAGTGCGTGAGCGGTCTGCCGAATGGAGGTTCCCATCAATATGGAATGGTAATTCACTGTTGTTCTTCCTTCTCCAAGGCACCTCGAGGCCCAAACACTAAGTGTCACGTGTCCCAGGAGCCTGCGTGCGCAGATCATTCGTATGTTCACGTGTCCCAGTCGAGTGTAGGGCAGGACGTGCGTGAGGGGGGTCTAGACTTGAACCCTTCATTGCCCTCGGAGCGCATATTTCTTGTAGTTTCTCTTGTTCCAGTCGAGTGTGGAGCAGGCAATCCGCGAGGGTGCTGCAAAAGAAATAGCAATGTCGCAGCCAGGAAGGCGCTGCTCACTCTTATTTTCACGCGTTTCAGAATCATGTCGGGCGGTAAATGCGTGACGGGCGCGCCGAAACTAGGCTTTCCAAGCCCTGAGCTGTCACGCGCGTGGGCCTAATGTTGGCAGCACGTTTCGCTCGTATCGTTATTAAATGTCCCCAGGGGGATTTATATAATCGGACGGCGGGTTGTGCGACGCCGCTCCTGGCATGTATTTTGCATGCACCTCACTTTCCTCAGTCTTCCTCCATCTCATCATCTTGTCTCGAAATTTGACACGGCGAGGACCCGCAGGGGGCCCGTCGAATGAACGCCACTTGAGGGAGCAGACGCCGCCGCCCCACTTTTTGTGGGAGCCCGGAGTTGCCTTGTGCGGGGGTCCAGCACGGCCCCAGAGAGCCCAATAAGACGCGGAGAAGAGCCCAAGAAGATCCCCAGAGGGCCCCTAAGAGGGCCCGAAAACTAGCGATTAGGGCACCCAAAGGTATCGAAAACAGCGGAGGAAACCAAAGAGGGATACAGAGAGGCAGAAAGGAGCATCGCCAGTTAGTTCTGGGGCTTCAGAAGGGCTTCCAGGGACCCCCTGGGCGCGCCCAACACGGCTCACGACAGCACCAAAAAGGAGTCCAGACGGGCGTGGAGGGCCCCGAGAGGTTGTCAGGGTGGCCGCAGAGAACATTCGCAGGTTCCAAGATGGCCGCAAGAGTCTGCGGTGATACAAGGGAGCTCTAAGAGCATCGCCAGGAACAACCCGATAAGGACATAATCGTCAGAATCCTGTGTTTTTCATGATCTGTTTTTCTTGTTGGGGGTTCTGGTACATGAGACTCGAAAGCTGGAGAGGCATCGGGGACGGCCGTTGGTGGCCCGAAAGGCAGTCAAGATCAGCCCGGAAAGAGCCCCTAGAGGCCCCCCAAACCGGCCCACTCAGTAGGCTCCCAGAGAGGCGTCTGAGAGGGCTGGCGGCGCTCGGAAGCCGAGCACATGAAAGGGAGGTAGTTTTGGGACGGAAGTGGTGGCAAGAAGGCGCCCCGGCCTCAGCCCCGGCCCCCGGGCTGGCGGAATGAGCAGGCTGCGGGGAGGACCCCAGGAGGGGTTGCCAGGGCTCCGAGGAAGGGCATGGGTACGAGGAGTGCCTGGGCAAAGGACTGAAGGGAACGAATTCGTGCAGACCATGCGGGTGGGATCTCACACGCCGTACCCGGTAGGGCGGCGAATCGCCCTCGAAGTCTAACACGACGAGGGTCTGCAGGGGGCCCACCGAATTCCAACGTTTCGCTCATCCGCTGGCCCATACAGTATACATTGTTAGCAGACCTGGGTCGTGGACAAGCGGCCTTGTTGGGAGGCGTGTGAGGGTCTCTTGAGAGGCCGCCAGAGGTCGTCGTGGTGGCATGTGGGGGCCTCTTGGGGGGCCTCTTGGGGGGGCCTCTTGGGGGGCCTCTTGGGGCCTGTCGGGGGTGTCTTCGGGGATCTCCGGGGGCCTGTTGGGGGCACCTCTGGGGCCTGCTGGCGGTCTCGGAGGCCATATCTGGGGGAAAGGGCTCCAAGTGGCAGTTCGTATTCCCCTCTTCGTACCGTCTTGGGGGCCTCTGTAGCCCCCTTTGAGGGCCTCCTTCGAATACACGTAAGAGAGACCCTAGGCTAGAGTGGCCTTTGGTGCGCGGTTTCAGGGGTCCCTGTGAAGGCCCAACGCAACTGCGCAAGCCAGTACTGCCGTGCCGCGTCAACGATCGGCGGGACGCGCCTGGAAAGTTTGTTTTGCGCCAGCGGGCAAGCTCGGAATTCCGCCAGTTGGATTCGAACGCCCCGATTGGCATTTCGAAGGCGCTGCGAAAGCAGACGCTGCTTGCATGGGGCCATCACGATCAGATCTGGCATTGCCGGGCCGCATCGCGATGACGTCTGACCAGGTCCGGCGTCACGGCCCAAATTGGCCACATCCGCGGGCCCGGAGTCTTTTCGAATATATTTGAGCCCTCAGTGGTTTAAAACAGATATTCTTAATCATATTCAAAGATATCCTAAGATATTTACCCAGAGAAATTCCAACCGCACCATTTGGGATATGGGCTGGGATTCGGGACTGGTCCTGGGGTGGACAACGCGCCGGCCGCTCGACCGCCCCCCCCCCCCTCGGGAAACCAATGTGCACTGTAGGGTTCGCCGCTTATGCGTTGCTGTCGATTGCGATTGAAGGGGGGGGAGGCAATCCTGGCGCGCTCAGATGAGATCGCAACCATGTGATACGGATGTCGACGCGAGGTCAAGTTCATTCCAAAAAAACTTACACGACCCCCTTGGGGCCAGCACTAAAGTTCATTCTAACGAAGGGTCAATCTTAAGTGTAGTCGACTCTTGGGCTATTATTGGGCCCCCTTGGGCAATCTTAGAACCCTCCCGGGAGCCTCCAGGGTTGTCTTTGGGCGATATCGGGGGCCTCATGGGTCATCTTCGGGTGTCGGAAGCGCGACAAGGCGGAGCGAAAATGAAACTCTCTTCGAAGTCATTTGGAGCTTTTCTGGGGCGTTCTGGGAGGCCTGAGAGGGCGCACTCACAAGCAAAACCATCTTTGGCCCGAGTCGGGTGTGGAGTGGGCATGGTACTGTTCACCTGGGGATCCCCAGGGGCGACCCCGCGCTCGCGAACTAAAATATTTTGAAACCTGTTGCCGGACATCTGAGCACGCCTCTGGCCCGTTGGGTCGGCGAATCTTCGAAGGCCCCGCATCGGTAATGGACGCCCCTCCGCGCGCCAGGGTTGGGGGTCCAGCGCCGACGCCGTCGCCATTTCCGACGGCCATTGCCGACGGCGGCGGCAGCGTCGACGGCGGCGGCGGCGACAGCGCCGGCGAGCGTGCCAGGCGAAGGGCTCTGGCAACCGCATCGCCGTGCACGCCTGCGGGGGGCCCCCCGGCGCCGCTGGCTGGAGCCGCGCCGTCCTGCGGCAGCGGTTGGAGGCCGCAGCGCGGCAGGTCGCTCCTGCCGCCGCCGCCTCGGCTGCCAGCCGCTGCCTGCCGCCGCCGCCGCGGCTGGCAGCCGCCTCGGTGGCCGCCCGCCGCGGCCGGCCGCCGTCGCGCCCGCCAGCCGCGCCAGCCGCCCGTCTGGGCAGCCAGCTGCGGCGGCCTGCCTCTGCGACCACCTGCGAACCCTGTTGTCACGCGGGTCCATTCGTTGCAGGGGTAACTATCGGACACCCCCGCTGGATTTCACTTAGCTGCAGACATCCCTCGGATTCTGAACCCCAGGCAGCGTTTCAGAAGTCTGACCTGCAGGGGCAGGTATCACATGTGCTTGCCCACTGCCGCCGCCGCCGGTTGGCCCGGCGGGGGCGGGCTGGGGCTCGGGGACCGCGGCAGCGGCCGCTGGGCGTCGTAGTCATAGGCTCTTGCCGTCGTTGTTTGTTTTGCTGTCGGGGGCTTGATCCTTGTTTTCCTCGTCCTTGTCGTCGCCATTTCGGAACGGAATTTTGAAAAGATACTTGTTCTCCTCGTGACAGGGACCACCGACATCCTCTTCCTTCTTCTTCTCCTCGTGATCGTGTCCTCCTGCTTCTCCGTCTCTCGTCCGACGACGCCGTGCTCGTCCTCTTCCTCATTGTTATCCTTGGCATCTTCCTCCTGCGTCTCCTCCTCCAAAGTGCCAGCATAAGCAAGTGAGTTGGAACCGATAGATGCGTCGTGGTGTTGTCTTCACTGTTGGATTGTGTAGAGCATCTTATTCGGTAGGCACCGGTTCAGGCTGTCAGCTCTCAAAACAAAAACCGCCTCATTATTCCTACAACTCCGTGGTTTCGGGGGGATCTGGTACCGTTCCGCATCATCCTTCAATATTTGTTTAATCACATCGCTAACATGTCATACCGCATACGTTGTATACGACTGCGTCATGTCACAGCCCAGCATTGCCTATGACGATTCGTACATGCACACACGACCTATCTTGCAAATAATCGCACGATTCAGAAATATTAGCATCGGATCGAGAACGCTCCGTGCTACACGATAAAGGGGTAGGACGTCAGATAATTAGTTTTTCACCCGTTCGCCCTTCTCCCCCTCCATCGGCAGGCTAAGAGGACCTGTGGTTTCAATCCACGTGCAGGGCGGAAGGAGGCCGTCTTTGAAAGCTGGGGTCGCGAAGAACTAGGCTGCCTCACTCGGTTGAGTGCGACCCAGACATGCTCGCGTGGTGACACAATCACGGCTGATGCTTTCGGGCAGTGTTCGGCATCCTGGGACCCTCGCCAGGCCCCGGGACCGTCAATAGACTTCCCGGCATGAAAAACCGGTGTTGGAGCAGGTTTTTGGTACCTTGGATCTTGCATTAAGATACCGGATGTCTCATGCCGCCGACGTCCCAAACCCGGTAAGAGGGCTGCCCACCAACGCTGCCGCATGGGAGCACACAATCGCAACCGAACCCAAAAATGCATGATTCGGTGTGGGCCTGGGCGCCCGCACACTCCCCAGACATCATGTCTGGGGAGTGTGCGGGCGTACGGTCGGGAACCTTATCGTTTTTTTGTTGCTGTAGCGTATCGCTCCGCCGGTTTCGGCCCACCGCGCTGCGGCTCGCGCGCAGCTTCCGCAGGCGCTTTCTCCTGGGGAGGTCTGGCCTGGTACTGCGCGCGGGCGCCATGCGGCGGGCCTCCTCGGGGCACGGCGGGCCGGCAGCCAGGGCCAACGCCGCCGGGGCGGCCGGCGCCGCGGCCGCTCGCTCACGGGCGTTGGGCGAGGAGCCGCCCCCGAAGAGAGCGAAGGTGACGGAACGATCGCGGGCAATGCTGGGGGAGGTTGGGCCCAGGGGCAACGACAGGGGGAGGTTCGAGGTCGAGGATGTTCGGACATCTTCGTCGGTCCTCGGCGGTTATCCAGCCTCAGGCTGCTCTCCAGCAGCTGCGCCTCGCCGATAGCGTTCCGGGAGTGCCTGGATCGTCCCGAACGGCCGCTGGAGACCCGACTTATGACCAGAAAGCGACTCTTGCAATGTCAGGTTCAGATGTGCTCAGGGGGGGATGCCGGGGGCCTCATGGCCAACCCCGCCCTGGAGCGTGCGATAATCGCCGATTCTGAGCCGTTGCTTCCCCCCCCCGAGCCGGTCATAGGCGTGGGGGCTTGCATCGTGTGGAGGTGTAGGAATGGGTCGGGTAGAATGGTACCGGGGTGGTGGTGCTCTTTTTGAACCATTTGCAGCTAGATCGTTCCACCTCGGACGAGGTTGAAAAATAACGAACCGGGGTGGTGGTGCTCTTTTTGAACCATTTGCAGCTAGATCGTTCCACCTCGGACGAGGTTGAAAAATAACGATGGCGATTTCGTTTCGGATGCGTTTGGCGATGGTGAATCAGGAGAGGAAAAACTCACAGACACAAGTATTTGTCTATCCCGCAGAAAATATGGGAATCTACAGGAAGGGGGGGGGGAAGACGAAACTCCAGAAGCCATGGAACAATATGGGGAGTCCTGGGATTTGTGTGTCCTGTTTGTGTGTCCCGGGGCCCCCTCAGTGAAGAAGGATCGAAGGCGGGCGGATTTTTCGAGGCGGCGGTTTTCTATCGTTTTCGGCTCTGGTGGCCGCTCTCGGCCTCCAGGGCCGTAAGAAACGCTGGGGCAGCTTTCTCGGAAATGGTCAGGACTTTCGTGGACCCCGTCTGAAGAAGTATACCGGATGAGCGGGTAGGGCCCAATGCCCAGGAAGCTAATTCAGCCTTGGCGCGAGTATCCTCTTGTGATATAACCTGGCTCGGTCGGAGTTGATATTCAGCCTGACACCGCTGACTCATGGGCTGATTTCGGCTCAAGCTGGCTTGATGGCCAAACTACCAGGCTGAAGGCTGAGCAGACTTTCTAATCGCTCCCACGACGACCTCCCAAGATTTACGTCCCAATGCGTAGACGTCAAGCCTTTGACTGTCGGGGGTCGATGGTTTTGATTGCTCAGGTCGGGGAGGTCGAGGGTGGAGGGCAGCGGCGACGACTTCGTTTCGGAGATTCGTGGACGTTCCAGGTGGCTCTCGTCGCCACGGCTGGACACGGGTCGAAGAACTGGCCGGGGCAGACCCCCTGGCGCCTCCGAGCAGGGCGAGGGGGAATGATTGCCACGCACCGGCCCTTCCAGGGTCTAGGCTACGGTATATGTCGACGCGCTGTTTGTTCTGACGCGTGGCCTTGCATCTTGGGGAGGGCGCCGCGGCCATCAGGGCAAACTCCACCTCGTGGCCCGGGGGGCTCCCCGTGGGGTTTGCCGCGGTGCCGGCGCCCTCTATTTGGAGCGCGGGGCGCAGGGTTTGGCGTGGGTTTTAGGTATGCACTTCCGTGTTCTGCTATTTCTGAGCCTTCTGGAGGTTCCTCGTGGTTTTGGTCGGACGCAGCTCGAAAAGCTACCCAGGATGTGCCCCCAGGAGAGGTCTGGTAGCCCGTTCCGAGCGGACATCGGCTGGGCGGTGGCGGGACGGTGCAGGACCACTTCGCCGCGCGAGGCCTCGAGGGTCGAGTTTGGGGATGCCTTCCGCACGTTCGTGGGCCGTTGGAATCCCCCAGGGGCTCTTTGGGAGCCCCGAGGTCCCATGGGGAGCACCCCCAGAGCTCGGAGACCACCCTGGGGAGGAGGTGCCAATGGCCCGACTCCCTCGGGACCCCATTTTCTTCCTGATCTGCAGGAGGATTAACAACAATTGCTCCATTCGGCAACGCGCAGAGGGGGGTAGAGGGAGGGGGGAAGGCTTCTCAGAAGGAGGCTGCTTCTTAGAAGGCGCTGGCATTATCTCTAGATGTAGGGCCGGCGCCTACTAAGAAGCAGCCTCCTTCTAAGACGCCATTCCCCCTCCCCCTACCCCCTTTGCGCGCCGCCAAACCATGCTTCTTATTACAATTCCAATCGGCGTGGTTTGAAGCAGGCCAGATGGGGCTTGCACGTTCGGGGCACAGTGGCCTAGCACTCTGGAGGTTGAGCGCTCTCCCCCAGATGTTTGTGTTTTTCGATCGATCCGCGGCCCCCAAGCTCCCGACCCCTTCCCTGGAACAAGTTCTGCGTTCCAGATCCATTTTGCAATGCCCCGGGCCTGATTCGTAGGATAACGATGCAGAGCCACATCCTCGGAGATCTGGACCCTCGACTCGGCGGCGAAATTCGAAAACTGCCCTCACCGATCAACGGTTCAGGCAACTCGATGGGCGGTGGGGGTAGGGTTTGGAATTCGTTTGACACGTAGCGAAATTCGAATTCTGCCCCCGCAGGAAAATCGATGGTTGGTGGGGGTAGGGTTCGGATGTCGGCTCCTATTGATCAGCCAGCGCATCCTCCTCCTCTACCGAGTTGCTTGCCCTGCTGGCGGTTCTTCGCTCCCCGACAGCGGTCGGTGTCCGTTTGGGATCACCTTCAGCCTGGAGCCGCACCACTCGATATTGCCCCCACATATTGAGGCGTGCCAGAGGTGAAGATGACGAGTACGAGAGAGGTGGAGAGAGGAGGAGGAGGAGAAGGAGGAGGTACGGATGCTGCCAACGATCGACGCCATCGAAGGTGAGGCTGGACGAGCCCGCGCAGGTCAAGGTGAAGGACCTGTGGCCCGGCGGGCCGGAGGCCTTCGAGAAGGCTCCAGGCCACCCAAATGGGGTCCAAGCAGCTGCGGTCGGAGGATCGCACCGCATCGCGGTGCATCGGCGATGCGGCTCGATGTGGAACCCGATGTTCTCCACGCCGACGTCGCCGATGCATCTCCGACGTCGCCGACGTCGGCGATGCATCGGCGATGCGGCGCGATCATCCAATCCCATCTACTCGGACTCCATTTGGGAGGCCTTCGAGAAGGTCTGCCACGCGGGAAGGATCCACGCCCTCCGACTGCCCGGCAGGCTCGCGGAGGCGGGCAAGATCGCCCCGAACCCCTTCGCGCTACCGTGGGCGTGGCCCTCAACGTGCCCGGACGCTGGGGGGGGAGCCACGCCGCACTCCAGGCCCCTTCCGTACACATTGTTCGTAGTGACTCTTTGGAGACGAAAAGGGCCGCGCGGCGAAATCCATTCTAAACGAAATTAAATTGTTCTTGATGTTTTCACTGTGCGGGCGCGCCCTGCCTTGCGGTGGTTTCCCGGCACATCTTTGAGCGCGCTGGCGCATAATTCGAGGCATTCATTGTGCACGTTGCGCATGCTATCGCGTACCCGCCGACTGTGGAGAGCTCTCGGCAGCCATTGTCGACAGTTGGCAAAAGCAACGTCGCCGAAAGGGCCGCCGAAAGAGCCGTCGAGAGGGCCGCCGAAATTGCCGCCGAAACGGCCGCCGAAAGAGCCGTCGACAGGGCCGCCGAAATTGCGGCCGAAATTGCCGCCGAAATTGCCGATGAAGTTGTCGCCGATATCGCCGCCGAAATTGCCGCCGAAATTTCCGCCGAAATTCCTGATTGTGCCGCCGAAAAAATCCCAAGTGACCTTGGCTGTGACTCAATGCCTGTGTCCGCGGCGTCATTGGGACAGGGCAATGGGAATTTCGGCGGCTGAATTTCGGCGGCGGCTTCTGCGGCTGAATTTCGGCGGCTTTTGGCGGAGCTCGCAATTATTTCGGCGGCATTTTCGGCGGCAAGTTCGGCGGCAATTTCGGCTGTAATTTCGGCGGCGATTTCGGTTGCGATTTCGGCGGCAATTTCGGCGGCAATTTCGCTGACGATTTCTGCGGCCCCTTCGACGCCCCCTGGTGGTCCTTTCAAAAACCCTTTCGGTGGTTGTGCTTTTGACAGTCGGCGAATGCTGCTGGGAGCACGCAGCACCCCGCTGTGGCAAAGAGTCGATGTGCGGCGACGCAGGCTGACGTGCCCTCAGCGCGATGCAAATTTCAACCGTTGTTCTCTTGTGGTCTTGGCGGTGATGATGGCGACGGCCGCGGTGATGTTTGGTTCAAAATGGATGCTCGTCGGGGTGCCAACACCCCGGGGCGCCCCCGGTGGACGTTGAGATCCTCCCTTTTCCCCGGACGCCCCATGTCGAGGCGGAGGCTCCGGCGGGGCTCGACGCGGCTGCGGGCAAGCCCGACACCGGAGACATCAACCACGCCCTCGAGCCGCTCCCCCTCCTTCATCCCGGGTCGCGCCTGAAGGTTGCTCCCTCTTAGGGTGTCGCTGCTGGTCAGGTCGAGGTTGGGAGTCAGCCGCCGGAGGTGTCGCTCGGCCCTTTGCGGCGGCGTGGCCGCTGGGGCCGGTCCTCCCCGCGGCGGGCGCGGCCCGCGGAGGCTTCGGCGAGGCGCGCGTGCGGGCGCGCCACCCGCCCTCCCTCTCGGGCCGGGATTGGTGTTGGTCGTGGAACTGGCGGACGCGGCGGCTCTGGAGGAGCCGGCGCGGGTGAGCGCGCTGGCACGGGCAGGCGGCCGCGCAGCCGAAGAGGAGTTGGCAGCGCTGCTGCGGATCCCCATGAGGGGGGAGCGGCTGCAGTCACAACGGCGGTTGGAGGCCGCACCGCACCGCCTCCAGGCAGGCCTTGAGCTCACGGAGCTCATGGGCCTGGTGGCGGCTGGTCGGCGTCGCCGGGCGGCGGTTTGCGCGCGGTGTGCATGCTGGCAGCGACACCGCGGCGGAGACCGCCGCGGCGCTCCTGGGGCGTGAGCGGGGCCGCGCTGGGCGCGGGCGCCCCCCGCCTGCCCTCCCCCCTCAGCTCCCCTCCCACTCCCCTCGCCTGCGCCGCCGCTGTCGTCTCGTCAGTCGTCCGTCGCTCGTCGTCGCGTCGTGCCACTGCCCCGTCTGCTCTGGTAGAGTGGTGAAGCCCCTCGACCCTGTTGGAAGGATGGCCCGTGCGGCCGCCGAACGGGCCCAGGTGCTCAACGAGCTCAGGATGGAACCCTGCTGAGGTTAACGAGGGACGGTTCGCATTTTTGCAACGTTTTCGTGCGTTTCTGCAAGTCTTCCAGCCTGGTTGATTTTCGGCAGCTGCGCCTCACCAGAGTGTTCCAGGGGTGCCTGGCTTGTCCCAAAATTCCGCCAGAGATCCCAGGCCCCAGACGTGGCCCAGAAGCCCCACGACCCATGAAGGAAACAGGTCAAGCCGACGCGGCAGCGACCCCGGCCGGCGCGGCTTTCCAAGGTTGTTCAGCGCCGCCAGTCGCCAGCAGCTGGCCGATCTCGAACGAGCTGCGCCATTTCAAAGCCGCGATCGCTCAAGGATGAACAATCCACGTGGTGTCAGAAACCAACTCCGAAGTCGTCACGACGCGAACCCGCCCTTCCCGTGTTTTCGCTGTTCTGGGGTTTCCTCAGGTCGCAGGCGGGAAACGCACATCCATGTCCACAGCCCCGCGGGCCTGGCCCATGGGCCGCATGCGTTTTTTGTTTCGCAGATGCCCCGCGCGGCACGGATCCATGCGACTGCGTATCCACGGGGTCGCGCCTGGAAGTCCAAACCGCGAGGGCGTGGACATGGATATTTTGGCCTTTTCGGCACCCTCGTCGCCACGGCTGGATTCGCTTCGGAGTCCTGGTCAGAGCGCGCTCCGACGAGAGGCCTGGGGAGCAGTGGCAACGGCATTTGTTGTCTTTCCCAGGACGCCGTGCTTATTCGCGACTTGCTGGCAGAGTTTGCAGCGGGCTTGGCGATTGCGGACGTGCTACCGAGGAAAACCGAGCCGGAACCTGCCGAGTGCGCAGCCGAAGTGGCCAAGAGCGCAGCAGCAGCTGCTGTGGCAGAGCCGGCCAGCGAAGACGCAATGGGAACATCGGAAACCAACGCCGCAGAGGTTGAACCGCAGGCTCTCTTGGCGGACTTGTGGCCTGGCGGCGCTGGGGCATATCAAGATCTCAGCGGCAGCCGGAAGAAACAAGCTTACCAATTGATCCGCGAGCTTGTGGAGTCAGGCAAGATTGCCCCCAAGCCCAATCCTTACGCCCCGTGGGTGTGGCCTTGTGGCAGTCACGACGCAGAGTGCGTTCGGAACGCGCTGGCTGATTTCGCAGCACGCCCGGAGCCGCCGCCGCCAATCACGCTGGCGGATTTGTGGCCGGACGGACCCGAGGCCTATAAACAGCTTAGCGGCAGCCGTTCTCAGCAAGTGCACCAGGTGATCCGCAGTCTCGTCGAGTCAGGCAAGATTGACCCCAGGCCCAATCATTACGCCCCGTGGGTGTGGCCTTGTGGCAGTCACGACGCAGAGTGCGTTCGGAACGCGCTGGCTGATTTCGCAGCACGCCCGGAGCCGCCGCCAATCACGCTGGCGGATTTGTGGCCGGACGGACCCGAGGCCTATAAACAGCTTAGCGGCAGCCGTTCTCAGCAAGTGCACCAGGTGATGCGCAACCTCGTCGAGTCAGGCAAGATTGCCCCCAGGCCCAGACCCACCGCCCCGTGGGTGTGGCCGTCGGGCAGCCAAGATGCAGAGTGTGTGCGAAACGCACTGGCTGAATTTGCAGCACGCCCACTAATCACGGTGGCGGACTTGTGGCCGGACGGGCCCGAGGCCTATCGACAGCTTAGCGGGAGCCGTTCGCAGCGAGTGCACCAGGTGATCCGCAGTCTCGTCGACTCAGGCAAGATTGCCCCCAGGCCCAGACCCACCGCCCCGTGGGTGTGGCCGACTGGAAGTCAGGACGCAGAATGCGTTCGGAACGTACTTGCTGAAGTTGCAGCACGCCCAGATTCGGCGCCGAAGGTGATGGAAACACCCTTTTCCCCCTTTTCCATAATTCCCCCTCTTCTTCAAGTCTTCTTCTGTCCCTTCCCGTACCTAAAGTATGGAAGTACTGTTACCGGTCTGAGGCCGCGCTTCCTGCCTCACTCCCACCCGCCTCCCCCCTCGCTCGTACCGAAACCTGTTCAGACCCAGTCCCACTCGCACTTGACCGTGCTGAGTCCACTTCCGCTCAGAACGACCAAGAAATCATCTTCATAACACACTCAGACTCACTCCTGCTCAGAGTTTGCAGACCCGCGCGCACTCATACCCGCTCCACTCACACTCAGACCCACTCGCATTCGGACATGCTGATAGTCACAGTCGCCTACTCGCAGGCCAACCCACAGCAACGTCCAATTATCTGCAACCTCTAATTATCCTCAGAGCCACTCGTACTCATCCACGCACGTACTCAGACTCATACGGAGACCCGGTGATACATAATCATACGCGTACTCAGATTCATACTCGGACTCTTTCATACGCAGATTCGGTCATGCTCTGGCTCATTCGTACTCATGGTATTCTTGTCAAACTCGCTCACACCGTGACCCCGACTCAGACATATTCACCACTCACACTCATACGCATTTTTAGGCAGAGCCAAATGATCAACGCGATGCAGCAGACACTGCGCTTGGGCATTCGAAGGGAAAGCCGCTGGGGGGCATGACACGGGCCCGTTCGCGCCCAGATTGTCCGGGGTGATGATGCAGAATGGCCGCTCTCGCAAGGTGCACGTGTCGCCGCGCCGCTTGTTCCGTCGCGCGGCCTTACGTTTGGGGGAGGGCGTCTCAGCCACCAGGAAAAATTCGCCTCGGACGCAAGGTTTCCCATGAAGTTTGCCGCGGTGCCGGCTTCGTCAATTTGGGCGCGTTCACAGCACACGGAGCGGCGACACGTGTCAATTCCGAACAGCATAATCATCTTGATGTAGCAGGCATGATACTTCAGGGGGAGGGCGCACTCCCAGACGGGGAACAGCAACAGCGATAGAGGAGCTTCCTCGTGGACGCCCCAGACCAACCTAGACATCAACAACATCGCGCGACTTCAGCTGCGGCGTCGCACGATGCCAGTACCTCGCGATGCACTGAAGCGGTCGTGACAGCCCGTCCTACCCTAGGAAGGACCAGGGCGATGCACGGGGGGATGGACAAAATCGGATGCATTAGTTGGGAGGTTTAATTCAGTACTGGCGCTGGTATGTCCGTGATCTAAAACAGGCTTCATCCGATCTACGTAACTTTGTTTAACTCCTCTGAATCCGACCTAATCCGGCTTATCCAGGCGTGTTCTTGGGCTTCATGTGGGCGAATCGGGGTGACCATGAGATCTGTCGTAACGAAACAATTCAACATCCTGAACAATTTCGATCAGAGCCCCGAGGGCCCCATCTTTCTGCTGCATTGACTCGTGATGGCCTCGGGGCCCGGAACCTGGCGAAAACGCCCGTTGCGCAACAAGTGCAACGCCTGGATCTCAGGGCCAGTAGCCCTTAGCCGTTCCTGCGAAAACTCCAAGGAGTTGCCTCCCCTCGAAGGTGAAGGCGGAGTCGGCTCCAGAGAGGGAGCGCGGCGACTCCGAGACCACCAAGCTCGGCGACAAGGCCTCGGTGTGGCTCGCAGACGGCGGGCCGGGGCCCCCGCCGGGGCTGTTGCCGGCCGACGCGACCGTGTGGGTTGCGGAATCCGGCGCGCAGATGCTCCAGGCTGAGGCTCATGATGCTACGCTCGCGGAGGCTGTCCGTGCAGGGAGAGAGGCAATTCCCGGGCCTCCCAAGTGGGGTCGACCAGATGGGGAGTCGGAGGGCTGCGCTTAGCAGCCTGAGACACATTCCTATCCCTCTGATTGGCATCGCCTCATTTCGATGCCGCTCTTAAGGATTCCCTTAGTTACTGAGCTTGCATCCCTGAAACTGTCATCGCACTTGGGCCTGCCAATCCTGGGGGTAGGGATAAGCTCGAGGCTTGTTATGCGGTGCGACTCCCATGCATTGGCGATGCGGCTCGACGTGAAGCCCGATGTTCTCCACGCCGACGTCGCCGATGCATCGTCGACATCGCCAGTGCATCGGCGATGCGGCATTGTCCTCTGGCCCCATCTGCTCGGACCCCGGTTGAGAGGACCCTAGGCATGGGCAGGTCTCGGCGAGGTGCCCGAGGTCGGCTACACGCAAGAATGCCCCTGCGCTGGGATGGCCTCGTGATGCGGGCTCACAGGGGTCCTCCCAGCGCTGGCCTGCGCGCTTGGATTTGACCCCCCCACGGCCCACAAAAGCCGCGCACCAGAGGTCAATCCTGCGTAGGGCCATCATTGCGCGTAGCCGGCAGAGGGGCTGCCCGAAGACTTTCGGTTGGTGCTCTTCTCGGAGGAGGGCCCGTTAAAGCAACGGCGGCTCTCCCAGCTGGCCCAGCAGAGCCGCTCAAAATCGGCCCTGGGCTCCTTCACGGCGTCCATCCTAGCATTTTTGTTCCAGGCGGCTCCAGCCGCGGCGTGGAGAAGCCCCCAGGAGGCACGGTGAGGAGTGTCGAGGAGCGTGAGGTCGGGTAGTGAAACTTTTGCGGGACAGGGGTGGGAGGTGAGCGCATGGCCATGTGCACGGCCATGTGCACCTTCGTGCTTTTTTTACCAGGTATCTTTGCCGTCCTGACCAATACTGTAGCTGGCATTGAAGGCGAGGGCGCGATTCTTGAATACGTTGCGAGGAAGCCTCCCGGTGAACCGGCTGCGGGACCGGGCGGTCTCGGGCTCCCTGTCCCACCCGTGGGGCTGTGTCTGACCACTGTCTATAGGACCACTCTCAGCGAATCAGGGGAGAGCGCCAGCTGCGGCCGCCGTTCTCTCGACTGGCCCCCCTCCGATCTTCTGCGGGGACAGCGGCTCGGGCAAGACGTCCTCGCTGCGGGCCCTCCTGCGGGAGCGCTTCCGAGACGCGCTGCGGCCAGGGGCCATGGTCACGGTGCGGGAGCGGCCGACCCAGGCCCGGGGCCTCGACGGGGTTGTCTTCCCCGCCTTCGGGCAGATCGCGGCCGTCTCGGGCGAGGAGTCACAGGGGAAAGCAAGGCACCGATGCCGCTCCTCGCCCTGGAAACCTAGATCTCCGGCGGTCCTGCGATCTGGATTTCTCAACGCGATTTCGCTCTCCAGGGCCTGGTCATCGCAAACGGATCCGGGTCGGAAATCTGGCCCCGGAGAAGCGGTCGGGACTTCTGCAAGAGCCGCGGAGTGAACACATCGCGACGTCGGATGTCAATACCGTTGCCGTTGCTCGTCCTGGAAAGCCCTCGCCGCCGCCGCGGCTGGCTGGAGTCTCATCGAAGTTCTGGGCAGAACGCACCCCTGGAGAGAGGTCATATAGGAGCAGCTGAGCGGCAGTGTTTGCGCTTCTTTGTGCCTCCCAAGAGGAGAACCACGGCGGCGGCCCCGGCCGCGTTTTTAGCGTCCGCCTGGAGGCGGCGCCGGAGACGGTCCTGGGCGGCCTGTCGGAGGGGCAGGTGCCAGGGGCAATGTCAGGGGGGAATGGGCTCAGGGGAGGACGGACCGACCCCCAATCGCCAGTTGATCCCAGACCCCCTCGCGCCTTGAGAAAATCACGAGAGTTTGTTCTCCACTTTCGGCTTCCAGGGGCCCTCATCGGGCCCCGGGATTGCCCAAACATGACTCGGGAGGAAAAACCACTCGGGACGAAATGCTGGTCCCGGGGAAGGTGGGATCGCCGAGAGGGGCCCGATTGCTCTGCCCTGCCCAGGGTGGCCCACTGGGGGCCTGGCGCATTACAACCCGATGTGCTCGCCCCCCCCCCCATGACGTTGCCCCTCGGCAGGTGGAGCTCGCGGTGCTCCCAGAGTTCGGGGCGGCGACCTGGGGCAAGTTCAGGCCGCTGCTCAGATTCGCGAGTCCCCTGCCTTTCCCAATCGCGAGTCCCCTGCCCTGCCCCTTCGATTCGCGAGTTCCCTGCCCTTCCCTTCCCCCTTGTGCTCCAAATGCTCCAAAGACATGCGTTGCAAAAGAGAAGTTCAGGCCGCTGCTCAGCGCCTTCCAGACCGCCGCCGAGGGCATGGACTGCCTCGGGGCAGCCGGCCTCTCGTCGGTGCCCGCGTGGCTCGGGCCCCACGAGGTGTTGTCCCAGGGCCAGCGCTACCGTGCCAACCTGGCCATGCTCTTGGCGCGCCGCAGGCGAGCAGAGCAGAGGTCAGGGGCAACGATCGGGGAGGGAGTGGCTCAGTGTTGGGCGACAACATCTGCACACATCCACTGCCCCCCTGGCCAGGCCCATCCTGAACCCAGGAGCTATGTATACGCCCTCCTAGCCAAGCCGGCAGGGCGTGGCGTATACACCGCTGCTGGGTGCAGGATGGACCTGGCCAGGGAGCAGCGAATGTGTATAATTCACGTCGCCCTCGATAAGGAAGCGGCGATAAATCACCGATAGTTTGTTCATCAGGTCTTGATCGCAAAATCGCACTTCCCTGGGCGGGAAGGGACATCAGGCCCCTATCAGCGATACACTGGTGATTAGGGGCGGGTGCATCCCCTCCTGAGCCCATCCCCTCGTCCTGTTGCCCCCCTGAAGGGGGGAGACGATACCCGTGGGCCTGGACGAGTTCACCAGCGAGCTGGACCGCCCGGTAGCGCAGGCCGTGGCTCTGGCGCTCCGCAAGCGCATCGCCCGCGAGGGCTCGCGGGGCTGGATGCTTGCCACCTGCAACGCGGACATCATCCCGTGCTTGCAGCCGGAGTACCTGGTCGTCTGCCGCGCCGGTCAGAGGCCTCTGCTCGTCCGAGGTGGAGCCTCGTCCATCCGATGACCCCCAGGGCGTGTGCTAGCCAAGCGCTCACACACGCACACAAGATCTTCACGGTCGGAACGTGATCCTTCGCCCGCGGCCTCTTTCCCCCTTCTGCGCCTTGTCCTGCTCCTGTGGTACCCAATCAGGCTCCAGTGAGTGTGTCTCTCGCTGCCCCGACCGCGTCTTGGATCCAAGACGCCGCTGACCAGCACATTGCCAAGCGTGTTAGCAAAGCGCCGTGTGCGGACTGGGCCGCCGTGCTGCCGAACACGAACGGCGTCTTTTCTGATGGTGCGTGCCCACGATCAGGGCTGGCGGGCGAGAGGCCAACTGCTGCGCGGCGCTGCAAGCGCGCCTGGGGCAGCGCCCCAGACCAGACCGCCTGACCAGGGTCCTGAATTCCCCCCCCCCTCCCCTGCCTCCCCCCTCCCTCCCCCCGTCTCTTTGCCGCTGGTCTTCTTCGCTGGGTAAAGTGTGTCTTCCCCTTTCAGCTCCACTGGTAGCACGCAGGAGTTGTAGGCCCTGATTGTACCGCATTCGTCGTATTGAAGGGCTTCAGTGGACAAGCACGCGTCAGCACTAGCACGCAGTCTGAGGATCATCGGCCCATTCCTGCCAGCGTGGTCACCGAGCTCGCCACGACCCCAGCGCCCGCGCACCGCTTCGTGGGCATCTGGCAGGCAGGGGAGGACACGGGGCCTCTGCGCATCGGCTTCTCGGACGCACCCGCGCACGCTCGAGCGGATGTCCGCGACGACGCTGGACGGCAGCTCCAGCTGACGCTGGACGGCATCTACACGCACCTGACGGGGAGCTCCGGGCCCGATTGTGCCTGCAAGCCAGACGGCGAAGGCTGGCTCTTGGCCGAGGAGTTCCGCGACCCCACAAAGAAATTGAAGGATCGCGGGGGCAATTGGTCTGACCTTCAGCTTCGACTCTGGGTGCGCCCTGGGGCAGACGCTGATTGCCTGGAGGTGTGCTTTCACAGCCTGCAAAGCGGCGGCTGGACGGGATCGGATGAAGCGTGGCGGCGGGAGACAGCAGTGTGGGGCCCAGGAGAGATACACAACGCTTCGCGTGACACGGCACGACAAGCGTTCCGTCTGCTCCTGGACCGATTTGAAAGGTTTTTGGGGCAGTTTGGGTGTCGTCTTTGGAGTCTGTTCGGCCGTCTTGGGACCCTCTTGGTCCATCTTGTGGCCCCCTGGGCCGTCTCTGGGGTCTCTTGGAGCCATGTGGTCCTGAAAATAATATCAGCGTGTAACTCCGCAGGCACCCCATGGATCTTGGAGGATCCCCACAGCAGCTACTTGTTTAAGACTCAAGAGCTCCTCTCCCTCGCGGACAGACCTTACGTCAATACAGTTGTTTATGATTTTTGCCAGTTCGGTACTAGATGGAGGACACGGACCCGTTTCCTTGTCGGCCACCTTCACCCCGATGAGCTCACTAAGTTACAAAGGACTTGTGCTGGGCGTGCTGGTATTTGCAGTCGGACCGGCAGGCCGCATCTTGTGCTCGAGGGGGCCTCGCCTAAAGGGGCCAGGTGGACCACGATCGCCCAGACGTGCCCTCGGCCCTTCAATCGTGCATTGGCGCCTGCGCTTACGTCCCAGGCCCGGTCAGTTTTCTTTCACGTGTGAGAGCACATCTCGTTTGGGGATAACACGGGAAATATCTACAATTAGCTGTAGGCAGCAGTCAGTATATATATATATATATAAAGTAGATAATTTTCTAAAGGCTGATCCACGCGAAGACTTGGTGGTGTTCGCGAGAATACAGCAGCGAGTGAAAACATGTCACTCTTGTGGAGTTCGCCGCCCCCCCGCTTACAACAGCATGGGGGCGCGTGCACTGGAGTGATGTATAAGCGGCCTTCGTCGCTGCCTGTATTGACCCCTTCCCGTCGTGGGCCCGAGGCGCCTGGATAACTGCGCGTCGTGGCCCCTGGGACCTTCGCTCGTGTGTGCTCGCACTGTTTAGGGATGGTTCCTGGCATTCGGCCTCTAGTCGGCTCCCGCCGCCAGCCCAAAGCCTTTGTCATTTCAGTGCAACCTTCCTTTCATCGTGTGCAACGTATTGTCTTTCTGGGAAATATCTAGATATAGTTGTAGGCAGCAGTCAGCAGATAATTATCAAAATGCTGATCCACGCGAAGACTTGGTGGTGTTCACGAGAATATAGCAGCGAGTGAAAACATGCCACTCCTGTCGAGTTCGCGGCCCCCCCACGCAAAACATCATTCATATAATCAAACGCCTCGTTTGCGCTGAGGTCAGGCTGGCCACAGGAACAAACATGCGCAGCAACGACCGATCGGACGACGTATCTAGCGCGACAGGCGCCACGATGTCACGCCAGCCCTTCGAGAACACTACATAACATATTACAATGTAGCGCGCCAGGACATCATGATGTACGACATAGTCGAATACGGATGCAATAGAGCAGCGACCGATCACTGGTGCCCTGACAAACGCAGCATGCATGCCGACGTAAGGCTGGCCGCAAGGCAACCACAGGCGCAACAACGACTGATTAGACGACGCGTGTATCGTGACAGGCGTTACGACGGCACGCCGCCCAGTCGAGACAATAACATAACAAACCATATGTGAACAGAACCGAACATAACCGAACACAACGTCACAGAGTACAACACACCAGAGACTGAGTAATGCAGTCCTATCATACGCGAAATGCGCGCCGAACGTACGCTGAAGCAACAACCGATTAGACGACATATCAAACGTGGCAGGCGTCACGACGTCACGCCGATTCGTCCTGAACAGAGCATAGCAGAACGTAGCGTCATTTACAACATTGGGGCATGGTCCACGAGAACAGAGTAGAGCCTCCTGTTTCTTCTTCCTCCTCTTTCAGCAGGTTGCGAATTATCTCCGAACAAGTTTGGGGGTCTCGCTCTCAAGGTGGCGGCCACCACTTGCAAAAGGTGCCACAGGAATCGAGCGCCGGATGCGCGCGTTGTGGCAGTTACTCGGCCTCTCTGGCAGTGCTCCGCTGGCGCAAAAAACAGAATTCTCCGATAAACGCTGCGACCAACGACAAAGGAGCGCCCAGGAATTTTGCAAATCGAGTGTTCTGGCGCTCCCAGAAGAGTGGGCTGCCTGAATTTTGCGGCAGGGGTTCAGGGAGCTGCAGCAACTTCACTCGCTGAGTACACACCAAACCAACCAAAGGGTCGGTGGATTATCCAGTGCCGCCGTATCGCTTCGCAGTTCGGTCGCATCGACCTCGACCTGGTGCCTGAGGGAGTCCCAGTCCGTGACGCCGCCTCCGCGTACACATCTGTCGACCTGCAGCGAATGCGCGCCCGCGGCTGGTACGTCCCGGCGGACTTGGAACCTAGCCGATTCCCAGGCCTGCGTATCCAGTCTACCGAGGTTCGGCATCACTCAAACATTATTGTACTATGTGTGCGTCGGTCCCCAAAGGGCGACGCGCCCGCTCAGAAGTCGTACAGTACATGCTTGTTGGCGGGCGGTTTCTGGCCATACCGTCTTGATGTCGGTTTACTATTATGATATGGTTTTGTATAATATGGTCGATCCGGACGTGCGCATCCAAGGCGGGCACATCGGACTAGTATGTCCGTCTGCGTCCCAGAGGTCTTGGCCGAGCCTTTCGTCTTCTCAAAGGCGTCCAGCAACCGCCTCAAGAACAGGCCGCCCGATGGCCGCTCCTGGCTCGCGGCCTACGTGGGCAGGCCTGACGCCTCGGAGGCAGAAGGCAGTCCAGGCTTTTCAAATTGGGTCAGAGCAGAAGGGTCGGAGGATCGCGTCGCATCGCCGATGCATCAGCGGTGCGGCGAGATGTGGAGCCCGATTTCCGCCATGCCCACGTCGCCGATGCAGCGCTGGCGTCGCCGTTGTATCGCCTATGCGACACGATCCTCCGACCCCATCTATTCGGACCTCACTTGGGAGGCTTCTAGGCATCGAATACGCCGAGTCGCTGTTGGATGAGCCGTTCGACGGGCTGTGCACGCACCTCATCCCGAGGAAGAAACATCGGCATATACACAAACTGTGGGAGCTCCGCGGCACTCCAGGGCAGAGTCGGTTGTTCACATAATTGTCAGAGTCTCCACAAATTGCCGCGCCGATTTCCTACAGCCGCGCTTGACCTCCCTGGCGGCGCCTCGGGCGCTGCCCTGGCGCGCTCCGCGCGCCAGGGAGGGGGGTCCAGCGCCGATCGCAGAAATCTGCCTGGGCTTCCGAGAGTTCACGAGGGTTCACGAGTCCCCAGCTTGTGCGGGACTGCGTAGCTCATTCTTGGATGTGTGATGCATGCTATTGTCTCTACTTAGTTTCGGTGCCTGTTTGCCGTGTCGGTCGGTCCCCTCCGCTCGGTGTCGTCCGTGGCCCTCGCTTCGCTCGTTTTCAGGCCCTCGGTTGGCGCCCCTGGTCGCTCTTGCAGCTTCGTTGCCAGGCTACCGCTTGATTCCATCCCACGTCCGAATGAATCCGAAAGTTCATGTCTACGCCGCTTTTCTTGCTCCTTTATCCCAAGCATCGCGCCCATCGGCGCGGGGGCCGGGCTGGCTGCCCCCAACGTCCAGCTCACGGTCCCGGGCTCGCTGGGTGTGATCGTCGGCCCGGCGGGCAGCGGCAAGTCGAGCTTCGCCCGCTTCTGGCTGGGGATGCCCGCCCGGGCCGAGTGGGGCCAGGGACCTCGGGGGGGGGAAGTAAGTGCTGTTCAATCCTTATCCTCATCGCCATTCCGAGCCACACCATGCCACCACCCCAGTTGGGGATATGCCCCTCGAAACTCGAGGGGAAAATGCTACATCCCCATCTATGGAGATGGATCGGCCAGTGGGGCCCAGACCACGCCAGTGGGGATAGGGATCGGGTGAGCGATGCTCAGGAGTATCACTGGCACGCCGCCGTTGCGAGCCAGTCGGCGTGTTGTCCCTTCCTGTTTTTGTCCGGAAGCATTGCGTTCTCGTCAGCCGTCCCTCAGATCTGACGTTGCAAAACAAATACAATCACGATTGGTGCCCTAGACCCAATTTTTCCGCGTCGTTTATCAAGCCGGACCAATTCGTGAGGATCCCAAGGTCCGAACTTGGGCGCAAACGCATGTTGTGAAACAGACGCGACGCCAGGATCGGATGGGGTCACACGCCGATGGTTTCGCCACGGCGGCGTGCACCGATATATTGCGTCTGCTCCCAGAGGGTCGGTGCTGTCGCACTTCCAGAGCCCCGACGCGGCAACCGCCGCGCTTTCGGCCGCGGCGCTCTCTACCAGCACGGCCACGGCCCCGCACGCCCAGCTGTCCAGGGGCGAGCAGAGCCGCGCGGACGTAGCGCGCGCCCTGGCAGCCCTGGCGCAGGGCCTCAAGCCAGAGGCACTCTCTCGTCCCATGTGCCCAGAGGCGCCAGGGTCGATGTCGATCCGATCGATGCGATTCGATGTCGATTCTGGCCAGTTCGAGCCGGTTCTGCTCGGATATTCCGACGGCCCGATGTTCGCATGGGCGTAGGTGTGCATCTTGGCGAAGCCGATACGATTCTGTCTCGCACTCCGTGCCGATGCTGCCCGATCCGTCGCACGTTCCGCTTCGATCCGATTTCCCGATTCGATGTTGACCTTCAGATCTGAAGTTGCAAACACCCCCAAAAAACAACATTGAGAGGAATCACGACAGGAGCCCCAGTGCGTCATATTTCGAGCCAGATCGATCTGTGAGGGTCTCGGGGGCCCGGCACAAAGCAAATCTCCCCGTTGTGACAAGTTGCAGCGCCAGGATCTGAGGGGACCGATCCTGGAGGCGCGCACGCCGGCGCTCGTCCTGGAGGATCGGGGAACAACAACAAACACACACGTAAGCATGAAACACTCGGCGCGCGGAGCGCAGCAAGGGCGGCGCCGGGGGCGCCGCCAGGGGGCCACAGCGCCGATCCGAGTAATCCGCGCGGGCCTCCGAGTTTTTGTGTTTCTATCATCGTTTGGTTCCCTGGAGGAGTTCACCTCGCTGTTGGACCGCGCCACGGCACAGCGGGTGGCGGCCGGCGTGTCGCGCTTCCTGCGCGCGCTGCCCGCGGCCTCTGGGCGCCCCGCCCTCGTGGTGGTGACCTGCCACGAGGACCTCGTGGGCGCCGGCAGGCTCTGGTGGCGAGAGCAGAGCCGCACCCTCTGCGGGCAATCTTCTTATATGTCGCCGCGCTGTTTGTTCCGACGCCCAGCCTTCGCCCTGGGGAGCGCGCCTCGGGCACCAGGGAAAGCGCCGCCTCGGACGCAAGGCTTGCCGTGGGTTTGCCGTGATGTCGGTTTCGTCTACATGGGCGCGTTCAGAACAAACGGCGCGGCGACCGATCCATATCCACTGCGTGCTGGACTTTGTGAGAGGGGGTGCCAAAAGGCCAGTGCGCAGTGGGTATGGATAAACATCTAGCCTCTAGGGCCCAGGGGCCAGAATCTTATATCCATGTCCTCTGTGCTTTTGTTTTCGTGGGAAGGGGGCCCGAAACTCCAAGACGCGGTGGATGTGGATACGAACCCTGGACGGCGAGCAAAACAACTAATCAAAAACATCGTGTTGACCATTTTTGGCCTCCAGGGTCCGCTTCCGGGCCCCAGGACCGTCAGAATCGAGCGCGCACGTACGGTGTTAAAAACCTGCACCAGTTGGAACCCAGGAGGAGTCCAGAAACCGAATTTGACCGGATTCGTTTTCATCCCCAAACCGACTCTCTCGGGCCCAATTAGGTCAGACCCTTGGCCGCTTCCAACCCTCGCCGATCAGCGATGGAGGCAATCGATGGCCGGCGGGGGGAAGGTTCGGAGTTCGTGCGGCACGTGGCGAAATCCGAGCCCTACCCCCGCGTCGATGGTTGATGGGGGTAGATCTCAGACCCATACTCCCGACGTCATGATTTTTTTCATGACGTCGCCCCCCAGAGAACTCGACCCCTTCCCCGTGAACTGTTTTACATCCTAAGCTGTGTGACGGCCCCGAGGCCTGGTAGAAGGGTCCCCAGAGGCCGAAAATATTGAAAACTTGTCCGCTGGGATCTTCTCATGACTCGAGGGGGTCTGGGGGTGTCGCCACCTGAGGCTGGAGCCCGACTGGGTCTTCGAGACGAGGCCCGGGAAGCTGTCACTCCTGCGGCCCGCGTCGCCGCCCGGGCCCCTGCCCGGCGACAGCGACACTCCGGCGGGGGAGGGCGCCCGCCTGCGCGGTGTGGCGACCCCTTGCCGCACGCCCAGTCCGGACGAGGACGCTGAGGTCCTACGTCATCATCAGGAGGGGCAACGATCTCCGACCCCTTCGGGTCATGCGAAAATCACGGCGGAAGATTTTTCGCTACTTTTGGCCTCGGGGGGCCCTTGGGACCATCAAACAATGATTTAGGGTCGACGTTCTGCAAAGATCATGACGTTGGGGGTCTGGGGGGCGGCATAGGGGGGAGACCCCCAGTCGCCCATTGATCGCCGACGGGGGCCCGATAGCCATACTTCGCCCAGGAGCGTGGGGATTTGTTATCGGGGGCCTATCGCCGATCTGTCGGCGATGTGTCGCCATCGCCGATCTATCGGCGATGTGTCACCGACTGCAACAGGTCGATGTTTCCCCCCCTATGCCAGTCCCCCCCTACGTATCGTTGCCCCTCACGTCACGGGAAAATTACGCTAACTCCCCACACTTAAAGATAAGAGTGATGGGGCGGACGCGGGCGGGTCGCGGGTGTTTCGCGGGGCGGGTCGCGGATGGGGCGACGACAACAAGTAGCAAGAGGCAGAGTCCGCGTCGCGGAACGTCACTTCAGCCACGCACCCAGGGGCAGTGAATGATCGTTCAGCCCACTCACTCTGTGACAAGTCACGACCGCTGCCCCGGACCAGGTATTTTTGCTGCATCTCCCGAGCCGGATCGACGTGCGATGGTCTCGGTGCCCGAAGCAGGGCGAAGACGCCCGTTGCGAAACTGTTGCAACGCCCAGATCTCAGAGGACGCGGCTGCGGCAGCCCTGGCCTCGGCCGCGGCCGCGGCCGCGCCGCCACCCATCGGGAAGGCGACGCCCACCGGCCCGTCGGCCGCGCAGGCCTCGGCGGCAGCCCCAGGCCCCACCGACTGGCTGGCCGCGCCCCTCTGCCTGGAGCGCGTACGGCTGGAGGTGCGCAGGGCCCTCCCGTGCGAGTGGGCCCACTTCCGGGAGCACCACTACAAGGACCAAGGAAGAATCACCCTCAGATCTTGGCGTCGCAGGTGTTGCGCAGCTGGCGCTGTCGCCTGGTTTCGGGACCAGCCCGGGGACCCTCACAGATCGATATGGCTAGAAATTCTGCGCAGAATGAAGGCGTTCTATAGCGATGGTCGCGTTTTTTTGATGTTGCGATGTTACCTTTAAGTTCGTAGCGTCGGAATACTGTGGCAGGGGTCCCCAACGAAGCGATCTGGTGACCACACCGCGCGGTGAGTCACAGTGGAGATTCGGAGTCACCGCGCTGTTTCGGGACTCGGGTCGTTCTACGGGGACTTCTCGGGCGACTGGGGCCTCCGAGATCCCAACACCGTGCGGTGACGGACTGCGTGGGAAGGTTGTTGGGGGTCCCGAGGTCACCAGGGCACTGGCGCGCGGAGCGCGCCAGAGGCGGCTTCTGGGGCGCCGCCAGGGGGTCCAGCGCTGATCCTAGAAATCCGTGCGGACCTCCGAAAGTCTTTGTTTTTGTTGTTTTTTTGTGAATCCGCGGCGAGCCCTGGGGGCTGACCTTCTCAGGAGGCGGCGGGACTTCTCAGAAGCCCCCCGGCTTTCTGAGAAACCGCCCGGCCTTTGAAGAAGCCTTGGACAACTTCTCAGAGGACCTGGGGCCTTCCGAGCCTTCTGAGAAGGGCTGCCCCCTCTCACTACCCCCCTGGGCTCGCCGCCGATCCAAAGGACCACACCCTCGTCGCCTCGGCCGTGG